GGGAACATGGCCGGGTCTCGCAACTGGTAGCTCACAACTTGAAGGTCGTTAGTTTCGAAGAGTGCCGTGCTGCAATGTGAAATGTTCATCTTGCTCACCCCATCGCGGCTTCAAGCCCCTCTTCCCCTTGACACCGTGAGGTTTTCCAACAAGACCGGCACGCTCGTACGTTTCCTTGTCGAGGTACATGGTCAACAGGCCCTCGCGAAGCGAGAATACATTTTCAACGTTTGTCCGACCCTCCGAGAGCATGAGGATGTTGCCTACATAGAATCAGTACCCACGCGACATCACACTCTGCGATGAAGTTGTATCTACCTCTCTTAATGTACTCATTGAAGAACCCGCCGTCCAGAACCTGGCCGAGGGTCATGATGACGCGGTGGAACGTCGGTGCTGGGAGCTCTTCGACGAGCTTTTGGCGGACTAGCTCGAAGCACTCTTGCGGTAGGACGAGGTCGACCTTTTGAAATGTTAGTTAAAGGTCTAGTCATAGAGGAGGTTTGTCAAGGTTCCGGTTTCAATGGTTCAAAAAGACAAACCTTGTAGTTGAATCCTTGTCCCAGGATAGGCGCCCACGGCTTCCCCTTTGTCGGCAGCTGCTTGGGCTCAATGTGAGGCATGGTGCCGTATGTGACGAAACATTTTGGCGATTGGTAGACGCTAGGCGTCGGGAATGAGAGCATTTTCCCTGGAGAAGCACTGTTACCAAGTTGGTTGAGCTTGGTTGATTTGCGTTGAAGTTGGCACCAATGATCAGGGCGTGTAAGTTGGTCGTGATATTGCGTGAGTGAGACGAGAGCTTGACCGCGGATTCGAGAATTGCATATTGGAGCGGTCTTCTTGTGTCCACGGTAGGCGTCGATAGAGTACACTCGATATCCACTCAATTATCTCTGATCGCTGATGATTGGTTCAATAGGGCGTGTGCGCATCCGAATGACTCTGCGCCCAGAAAATCATCTTTTCGAGTCAGCGGGATGAGAGGCACTGCGCAAACGTTTCTTCCATACAGCACCAGAAAAAAAAAGGGACTCTTGACATGACTACAGGGTAATCCAAGACCTCTCAGATCTATGAGTAGCAAGACTTCTTGTTTCTTTCTTCTTTCTCTGAGTTGTGCCAGTGCTAATACCAAACACAGTCGCCAATAAGCCTCCGGAGCGCAAGAGAATAAAAAAAAAAACGAGGGGCATTTTTCACCCCGCGCTTGCGCCAGGATTTTCCAACGGGCTGCCCCTCCTCACTCACCCTGTCGACCTGAGTCTCATGAGAGAGGACCCCAAGACACCCTCGATCAGATCACCATCTAGGACGCCAAAGTCATCTTCGTAATGGAGTTCCTCGTCCGCTTCTCCCAGGCCCACGAGTCCTTTCGGCTCCCTGAGCTACAGGCTCTCGCCGATTTGGAGGGCATCGACATGAAGGTTGTGGAGTACAGCCTAGATGTGAGTCTTGAAATCTACCAGTTTTATATGGCATACATGGCAACTTCATTTGTTTTCACAATTATTCAACACGATTCTTGGCTCATGCATAATGAGAAATTGCACACAACGTTGTAATCTGCATAAGCTCATCATATGTCATTTTGCTCATACTTTACCCTCATCTCTCAACTCACCAGATGTGGCGTCTCTCACCATAACCTACCCCTGATGAGAGCCTCACCACCAGCACCACAAGATCCCCAACCCAACACTCATCTCTCACCTCGCCTAACATCTCACAAACAAATGCTAACATCAACTAGTCCCCCTTCTGCATCATCACCCTCCCCTCAATCGACCTCGCCCCCCGCCTCGTAGCCCGCTCCCTCCTAACCCAATCCATCCACCTCCTCCTCGCCTCAGCCCCAACCCACGACGCCATCCACCCCATCCTCAAATCCCAACTCGCCTCCCCGTCACCAACAACCTTCGACTGGTCCGCCGTCGGCTCCTCAACCTTTAAATTCTCCCTAGACACATACCAATCCTCCCGCCCCCACGCCTCCTTCGTCTCCCTCATAAACGGATACAAATACCTCCCCCTCCACGGCGCAATCGATCTCAAGACCCCCGAGCTGCACCTCACAATTTTCGAAGACTGGGACCTCCGCGGCACAGAGGGACCCAAACGCGTCCACCTAGCCCGCTTCCTCGCCACGGGCGCACGCTCTCTTTCCCTGAAATATGATCTAAAGAAACGGGGGTACATCAGTACCACGTCAATGGACTCGGAGCTCGCGCTGGTGACAGCCAACCTCGCGCACGCGGCTCCCGGGAAGCTATTTTACGACCCGTTTGTCGGGACGGGGTCGTTCCCCGTCGCGTGTGCGCATTTTGGAGCGCTTGGGTTCGGGAGCGACATTGACGGGCGAGCGATTCGTGGGAGCGGAGGGGAGAAGAGCGTGAAGGGGAACTTCGCGCAATATGGGCTTTCGGAGCGTATTGGCGAGTTCTGGACGGCAGATTTGACCAACTCACCGGTGAGGAGGGTGAGGTGGCTTGATGGTATTGTGTGTGATCCGCCGTATGGTGTAAGAGAAGGGTTGAGGGTATTGGGGTGTCGCGATCCGGAGAAGACGCCGTGGGTTGTCGAGGCAGGAAAACAACGGTATAAGTTGGTGACCCCTTTTCCTCAATTTGCCTTCTTTCACCCTTTGCCGTCTTACCATGATGGACGAAGAATCAATAATGCTGACAACACCAGGTCGGGAGACTTCATCGCCCCCAAGAAACCATACAGCTTCCTCGCCATGCTCGACGACATCCTCGAATTCGCCTCCGAGACCCTCGTTGACGGCGGCCGCCTCTCCTTCTGGATGCCAACCGCCAACGACGAGGACCAGGAGATCCCCACACCGCAACACCCACGCCTCGACATTGTCGTCACATGCGTACAACCGTTCAACAAATGTGAGTTGTTTTCCATCGTTAAATACCTGCCTACTCGAGCTCCATCCCTCCATCCATAGTCATTGTTCCCACCCCAGGCTACCACAGTCATGCTGACTCCCGAATAGGGTCCCGTCGACTCATCACATACCGGCGCATCCCCGACAACCAGGTAGACCCGGAAAGGCTGGCGGCCTACAAACGCACATTCGTAGCAGGAACAACAGCAGATGAGTTGAACCCCTTCCGACGGGGTTACTTCACAAAGTTTGAAAAAGAAGAAGCCTGATAGAAGAAGAAGAAACCAAGAGAAAAAAGACATGTACAGCAAATACCCAGCCTCCTTCTTTGATGATGCCATGACCGTTTGCCCGATAAGAAATAATAATGATAATACCATGCGTTTCTCTTTCTTCTGTACGTGTCGTGATCCCCCCCCTCCCTTATATCGCTTGGCCTTGGAATATGTCCATCCTCATACCCAAGGCGTACCATGGCATCGTCATTTGATATCATTTGCACAAGAAAAAAAGACAACACGAATAAGACATGCGTGCGTCCAGCCAGACATACTCCCGCAGTCTGCAGGCGCTCGCGCACGCACACACCGAATAGAGTTGGGCGTTGCGCTCGTGCCTCCTGCACCCTTTCCCACCTCCCTCTTCCCTTCTTTCCTTGATCTGGTGTCTGATCTCATCTGAATTCCATGGCGCCGAAGCAGCCCCTATCCTCCACGTGCTTGAGCTCAAGCTGCTGAAACCTGGCAAAAATTGTTAGCTAAACAACTAAATCAAAGAAAGATTGTGGGAGGGCATTGTCGGCACGTACTTTTCGCTTTTCGAGTGAAAGTAGATTCCACTCACTTCACCCTTGACCTGGTTGAAGCAGATATAGTAGAAGCCCTCAAAGCTGGCTCCGGAAATCGTGCGTACGCGGTGGTCGGGGACGAGGAAATGCTCCTTCCAACGCATGAAAATGTTCTCCCTTTGCGCAACATCACGGATCACCACCGGGCCCTTGCGCGCCTGCTTCTGGAGAGGGCGGAAGGCGTTGAACTTGCCCCAATGGCTGAGATCGATCTTGTCCGTGGCGCCCCAGCTCTCGTGGCCGGTGATGAAGCTGTATTTGGTGCCAATGATCTCGCCCTCAAAGTATGTCGTCAATGTGGGGTGGTCCTCGGTGAGGCCTGCAGACACAGAGTTTAGCAACGGATTACACGATGAGCGGGGAAGCTAGTTGTTTCGTACCTTGGATTCGCAGGTAGCCGCATAAAAACGACTCCCGAAGATCGACGTGCTTGATTTCGACCTGCACATCATATACCTGCCGCTCAGATTGTTGCGTTCCGTGGAACTTGCTCCCTGGGCGAAGATATGAAGATGCCGTGGATGGAATAATCTGCCGAGGCGTTTTGTTAGTCACTGGCGCGCTAGGCTGCGTCGTTTGGGCACGTACCCGCATGTTGGAAAAGTCAGAACCCATGGACGGCGCCATGAGCTCCTCTTCCCACACATCGTCGACATCAAGTTCCATGCCCTTGCTGTCTTCGTGTTGGACCGAAGTCGGCGATAGCCTGGGATCGTGCCGCCTCACGCCATCTGACCGCGACGTCCTTTGTCTGTTACCGGCCATGTGCGCCTCTTCGTCAGACTCGGCATGCTTGAAAGACTCCATATCGGCCGCCGGTGACGAGTTGGCGGTGTCGCCCGACTGCGGCCTCGGCGACATGGTAGTGGATCTTGAGGATGAGACGGCAGATGTGGGCTCGTCGTCGAGTATGACCTCCGTGCTCATGCCCTCGGCTTGTGGCATTGGAGCGCTGACAGGGGCGGGTGACGAGTCGTCGTCCATGGGGTCGTCGTGATGGGGATCCATCTGGGGAGGGGCCTGATTTGCATCGGTGGGCGGCCGCCAGCTGCGTTGTGGAGATCTTGAGCTGCTATCTTCAGGACATGTCGAGAAGCTGTGTGATCGGGGCGAATGAGGATCGGGAGGAGGGTTGGAGGATGGAGTTGGCATGTTGGGCGTCGAAGTCGGGGTCGTGTGTCGTCGTCGAGGACGGCGGTGGATGTCGAAGTCGGGCGATGGGGTCGGTCGCGTCGACGGGGAACGGGTGCGGGTTTACCGCCGGCAGGGGGTCGAGGGCTCCGCAATGATGGCAGCAGGGGGAGCGACGGCGCTGCTGTAGAGTTGGCGATGTCGGTGACGGGCGGGAGAGGGTGCGATGTCGGTAATGGATGGTAGGTCGCCGCGAAATTTGGCGGTCGCGGGCTCGAAAGTCGAGATAAACTCAACTCGGTCGACGGGATGCGAGGAGGAGTAGAGTTGGGCCAGGCCACTTGTAGCAATCGGTGACTATGGGGCCGAATAAGTCACAGGCCTGCCAAGCGGAAGAAAGCGGTCGGGGGCAGCGAGAATGGTATTGGTCGAGAGAGAACACCACCCCAGAAGTCGACGAGGTACAACTTTGTAGGTAGCCGCGGAGTCGCAGGACGACGGTAAATGGGTGAGTGAGGATGATTGGAGTTACGGTTCGCAGAGGATAAGCTGAGTGGTCGCAAAGCACGTCGCGGATGACGAAGCTTTTCTGGCTTGGAGGGGAATATCAAATGCAAAGTAGAAGCAACGGACGGATGACTGATGATGTGACGAAGACAAGGCGAGTCTGGGTCATAGTATAGCAGAGGTGGGCGAGAGAGAGATATGGGAGGGTTGTCCACAGCAATACAGTGGCTGTATCCGTATGGACTGAAGAACCGGGCCAACAGGAACTGTAGCCAGCAACAAGCAACAGGACACAGCGACAGCGACGGGTAGAACTCAAGGCAAGGTAGAATAAGGTGGTGACTGGATGCAGCCAGCAGGACGGGAGGACGATGAAGTGACCAAGGCACGGGAAATGGGACGGGGGGGGTGACGATTAGGATGCGGGATTGGAGGAGGGAAGGCGTGGAAGGCGTGGTAAGGTTACCGTGGGTACAACGGGCATGTACTCCGGTAGCTTCAAGCCTTTTTCACTGAGAGTGCGAGTGAGAGTGAGAGTGAGAGGGCGTGGCATGAGAGAGAATTGGGGGTGAGTCGTGACCGGGGAGGCACTGGGACGGACGGGGGACCCGCGGAGAAGACGAGAGATGGGACGGGATGACCTGTACGGAGTACCCAGTAGGTGACTGAAGTGAGCGATGATGCTGGCCGAGGTCTTTTACTTTGCTCGATTGTTCATACAAGATAGCTTTTGCAGAGTTTACTGGAGAATTGTTCATAGGTATGCAGACTGTACAGAGTGAAAGTTGTGAGATGAGTACAATGTCTCGACTGCATCCATCACACACCACCAGTCAATTGCATTACATTTTATCTGTAGACAATCTGATAACACATGAATTGGGTGTCAGCGACCAAAGGGGGTGAGATGTACTCCGTAATGCGGGAGAATGAGGGCGGGCAGGTGCTGCAGTCAATGCATTGCAGCCGATGACGCCTGTGTCCCCGCCTTCTGTTCGCGGCCTGAATGCATATTGCTCACTCGTCCAGCTACCATGACTATACATAAGAGAGAGTGCCCCAATTACCTCAGTTAATCAGCTAAGAGAAGTGAAGGAAAAAGAAGGGACGTGTGAGACGCGGGGACACCTCAATCTGCGTCGTTTACCGCTAGCCACGTTGGAAGGGTCTTCCCGGCCTGTGCCATTTTCTGCGCTGTCAAGCCCTGCGCCGCCCTCATTTTCCTTCTCTCCGCTACGCCGCCGCCGCTGTAGAGTGAAGCTTGTCGGCGGTCCCCCCCCTCTCTCTCTCTCTCTCTCTCTCGCACGCACTAACTAACAAGTTGTCACTGCCACGCCACGGAGCTACGGTAATCGTGGGTAGCTTAGCGTGGAAGGCGTGGTTTATCTCCAACTGTCATAGCCGTCACTCCTACGAACCGACTTCCTGTCGCTTCTGGCGTCCCACGCGTTGGCTCATGGCGTACGCTAACAAAAACTTTGGTCCCTTAGCGGGCTGGCGAGTAACTGGCTGGCAGCTAAATGGCCATTCGCTCGGTGGCTCGTGTTAGACGAACTGCTGGGCTGCAAGCGTCGCAAAAGGAAGGCACTTAACCACTTTACTCACGTTGACAGCGACCACAGGCGCGGTTGGCGGATGTACAGCGTCCCTTTTATCCTTTTCTAGCAACTTATGTCATACCTATAATTCGTCAACAGCCGTACATCCCTACTTCCAGAGTACTCACTCACTGGCACTCACTCACTCATTCACTCATCCAGGGTACTCCCTCACATCCATAACCCACACATACCTCCCATAACGTCCCGAACACGACAATGGCACGCGACAGCAACGCGATACAGCCCTGTAGTCTTGCGCTATATGCCCTGAAGGATTCACCAAGCTGCCACTGCTGCTCCTCAAGTCTCCCCTTTGGATACCTCTCAAACATAAACACCCCGTGAGTTGAACTTTTAGGGGTCAAGGCTCACTCATCGGGCTTGCGGACTTTACTCTGCGCCCGCTCTTCAGCAAGTACTTTCCAAGGGCACAGCACCAAGAGCCTCAGATGGCGGGGGACGGAGGCTTCGGCAGGGCGCTGAAATCCAAAGAGTTGGGGAAACGGGCACAGACTGGGGTCAAACTCTGTGCTCTTGCAGCCTCTTTCCTGCACTCCGAGCCCTCAGACACTGTCAAAGCACTCTCACTCCCCTCTCCGTCATTCATCCCACTTGCTGTGTACACGCCATATTCTCATTCTGTGTGAACTGCTCCTACAAAATACGATGTGCTCATTAACTAATTAGCTTCAAGAGAAGCCATGCTCTCAACTTGGGTTACCGACTTTCGTCTCGCCTCTTTAAGTCTATGCTCCTCACTCTCACCGGTCCTTACACTCGGTGACTCAAGAGTTGAATCTCCAGAATTTCCAGACTCTCCAGAGACTAGAAGAAAGCTCACCTTACCCGCCCCATCTCCACAGTCTAAGCCTCAGCCTCATGTTGAAGAAAGGGCTGTGCCAATTGACACTCACCCTATTCATCTATCCCTAACCTTACACTTTCAGTATTCGGTCATAACGTCCGACCCAGCAGCTCCCTGTCACCACCCGTGATTCCCTTTTGGGACTCGCGTTCTTCATTGCACTGTTGATACTGTCTGTGAGTACGGGTTCTCCCAGTCTCACCTTACATCGGTGAACTCACCTTCCTCCCGTGCCTTTGTAATACTTCACCCCTTCTTAGGTGAAGAGCTTGGGTCAGCTTTCGCGTTTGGTATGCTTAATGGCATGTGTCTCTAGTTGCAAACAAGTAGCCGTCATACACATTCATCGCATAAAAGACAATCTGGGATCGGCGTCGCCGTTCAACGCCGCATCATCGAATTTTACACCCTGCTTCCATGCTCCCTCTTTTGGCGCGATCCGAACCCCAGGTACCGGCTTCTTCCCGTCACGCCTCAACGGCCCTTTACCCTGCTGGGCTCTGTCCGTCATTCAGTATGGTTGGCCCGAGGAAAGACACCACTGTTGGTCCCAGCTCGAGGTGCTCTGTAACACGCCTTTGCCTGGTATAAATGCGCCGTTGTGAAAAGACTGACTCGAACTGTTGGCATCGTCTGCGAACCGCACCACCTGCATCCCCGAACCAAGCGCGGCGTCCCATGAAGACAAAACTGACCGAACAATAAGTGTGCCATTTTTTTGACAGCGGGCCACATGCCACTTGGAAAATTAAACTCGTCTTCGTCTCTCAGTCGTGTTAACATCATCATCACTCAACCTCAAAACACCATCAGAATAGGGGGCGCGTGCGTGCATCAATAGTGAAAACCGTATCTCGTTATTTTCCCCTCACATCACATGACCAGTAGCCATGCAGTCTGGTCTTCCCGAGTCTGACCTCGTATGAGTGACGACCAACAGGGCTGTCTAATTTCCCGCCTGCCCGTTTGTCCGTTCGCCAGCTCGTCGTCTGAGCTGAAGGGCCCAAGACCCCTCCTCCATGCACCCGACTTGCAGCATCATGCAGTTTTTTCTAGAAAAAAAAAGGTCGTTCCGCAGGTCACATGCGGGCTAATTCGTCATGATACGTCCTCGTGGCCGGCTTGTAGCGTTCTCGCACGAGAGGAGGAGAACAGATGCGGGCCCAGTTCTCAGGGGTATCTCCAAGTATTTTGTCGTTTGACGCCTAAATTAGTCTGACGCATTCTTCAGCTTCTTCGATGTGTCCCCCTTCTAGATGGGCTTAATCTTGAAGTGCAGCGCGATCAAGCTGAACACCAGCGCCTTCAGGTCCTGCACCAGGTAGTAGAAGACGCGCAGGCCTTCAGGGTCGGCAGACTCTGTCACATCAACCAGTGAGCCGATCTTGGCCGTCTGTTCGAAACACGTCAGTCAGCCCGAATCTCCAAGTCCAACAAAGTCGCTTTCAACCCACCTCAAAGGAGATGTGGTCGTTGCCCAGCCGAATCTCCAACTCCTGACGTCCGTCCTTGTTCTTTTGTGGCCACTTTGAGTCATCTTCCCTTCACCCTGTATGTCAGCGTATCTCCGGGGTCGGTTGATATTGGGTATCCTACTTCAGAATCTCGCTCGTCTTGATGATGCGCTTGATCTCGTCGACGATGAGAGCGCTGACGCACACTAGATGTTGCCATTAGTGATGCTCGTTTAAGTATTAGGGGAAAGGCGCCGTACTCTCTTTACGGATCAGACTGTCATTTCGGTAGTTGGAGTTGTTCGCATAACGCGCGACTGCGCTACGTCCATCGCCAACGACGCGGAAGTCGAACTCTGGTAGCAAGAACGTCAGAAGGTTGCTCAAAGAACCGGATAGTGGGGTTGGGATTCGTTGTTACCCAAGAACTCGTGTCCGAATCGCCCAGAGTGACCGGAGCTACATCTCAATTAGCATTTATTCATAACGCGGTGTAAAGCTCTGGCTACATACTAGTAGCGGAGGTAGAACTGATCGTTGGGAGCCGCCATTGTGACAACAGTGTTGGCGACAATTGGCAATGTCGGTGAAATGTCACGGCTGGTGTCCTCGAGCTGCAAGGCTGGAGATGGGAATGCAAGGAAAAGCGGGATGGTCCCCATCGAGTCCAGCCTAGCCCGCGGTGCCTCGCCGGCAGGGTAGCGGGGTCCGATCCGACATGGTCCAAGCTTCCTCCAGTCGCCAATGGAGAGCTCTTGCCCGCCAAGGGAGGCTCTTATCAGTTAATCCGTTCCGTCTCCGTGTTTTGTGCAAGGCGGCAAGGGGTCAAGTCCCATTAAAACCTGAATCACGTGCGATTACCTAAGTAAGTGACACCTGTCCGGCGCTGGTGCCCAGGGACAGATATTCACGAAATGGAGGCCAGAGTGTGAGAGAGAGCCCAGCTACCGAGCCGTATGTCGGAACTTATTGCTTTCAACACAGCACAACAAGGCGACGCATGACTACCTAGGACTCGTGTGGAAGAGGACAGTCTCGCTGGATGGCCTAATGTTCGTCTTATTCCCCAATCCCCTCAAGTTTGGTCACTTTGGGTTGTGAACTCGCAGCGATAGACAGCTTCCCTTAGCTAACACGTATTCCACCCCCGTCCCTAGACCGTCCAATCCCCACCGCCCAGCTTCGATACATCCCACTCGAACACCCCGAACTCCCCCTTGAACACGTCCTCAACCACAGCGCCGGCACCTCGCCAGCAACATCACACCGCACCCGCCACGATGGCCTCCTTTCTGGAAAATGCGTACAGCTTGGTGCACCAGGACAATGCCGCCGACGTTCCCTCCCTCTCGGACCTGCGCACGCAGCTCGAGAAGGGCACCGACGAGAGCAAAGTCGAGACCATGAAGCGCATTCTCACGATCATGCTCAATGGCGATCCCATGCCCAACTTGCTCATGCACATCATCCGATTCGTCATGCCCTCGAAGCACAAGGCTCTGAAGAAGCTATTGTACTTTTACTATGAGATTTGCCCCAAGCTCGACTCCAATGGCAAGCTGAAGCAAGAAATGATCTTGGTCTGGTTCGTGGCTGGCTTGTTCGTTCCCTTCGCAGCTGCACCCCTGCTGACACTCTGGCCTTAGCAACGGCATCAGAAACGACTTGCAGCACCCCAACGAGTACATCCGGGGAAACACTCTTCGCTTCTTGTGCAAGCTTAGAGAAGCCGAGCTCATCGAGCCTCTCCTCTCCTCCGCCAGACAATGTCTCGAGCACCGCCACGCCTACGTGCGCAAGAACGCCGTCTTTGCGGTTTCCTCCATCTACACACACTCCGCCAGCCTGATTCCCGATGCCTCAGAGCTCATTGCCACATTCCTCGAATCCGAGAACGATCCCACATGCAAGCGCAACGCTTTCGCTGCGCTGGCCTCTATCGACCACGAGAAGGCACTGCTCTACCTGAGCACGGTATTTGAGGGTATCCCGAACGCAGAAGAGCTGTTGCAGCTTGTTGAGCTCGAGTTCATCCGCAAGGATGCCGTCCAGAACTCTCAGAACAAGGTAACGAGAACCGAGAACGGACATTGCCTTGTCGCACATCTGACTTTGATTAGGCACGGTATCTCAGACTCATTTTCGACCTCCTCGAAGCCAATACCTCGACCGTCGTATACGAAGCCGCTTCCTCATTAACCGCCCTCACAAACAACCCTGTCGCCGTCAAGGCCGCTGCCGCCAAGTTCATCGAGCTCAGCATCAAGGAGGCCGATAACAATGTCAAGCTCATCGTGCTTGACCGGGTTGATCAACTGCGGAAAAAGAACGAGGGTATTCTGGACGACTTGGTTATGGAGATCCTCCGCGTTCTTTCCAGCCCCGATATTGATGTCAGACGCAAGGCTCTGGATATTGCTCTCGAGATGGTGTCAAGCAAGAATGTCGAGGAGGTTGTGCTGCTGCTTAAGAAGGAGCTCTCCAAGACTGTCGACCAGGAGTACGAGAAGAACACCGAGTACCGCCAGCTCCTCATCCACACCATCCACCAGTGCGCCATCAAGTTCTCAGAGGTTGCCGCTAGCGTCGTCGACCTGCTCATGGACTTCATCGCCGACTTCAATAACACTTCAGCCGTCGATGTCATCAACTTCGTCAAGGAGGTCGTGGAGAAGTTTCCCAAGCTGCGGAAGCCGATCGTCCAGAGGCTGGTTGCTACCCTCAGCGAGGTGCGTGCCGGAAAGGTGTACAGAGGTATCATGTGGATCATAGGAGAATACTCCCTGGAGGAGCGCGATATTCGGGATGCATGGAAGAGCATTCGTGCCAGCCTCGGCGAGATCCCGATTCTCGCTTCGGAACAACGACTTCTGGACGGCGATAGCGAAGAAGAGAACAAGGAGCAGGTCAACGGACACTCAAAGCCCGCAGCACCTACCGGCTCCCGCAAGGTTCTTGCCGACGGAACGTACGCGACCGAGACCGCCCTTACCAGTCAGTCTGCTGTTGCTGCCAAGCTGGAGGCTGTCAAGGCTGCCCAGAAGCCTCCTCTGCGCCAGCTCATTCTCGACGGCGACTACTACCTCACAACCGTTCTCTCCGCCACCCTCGTCAAGTTGGTTATGCGCCACGCAGAGATCTCTACCGAGTCAGCGCGCACCAATGCTCTCCGCGGTGAGGCCATGCTTATCATGATCTCCATCATCCGCGTCGGCCAGTCGCAATTCGTCAAGGCCCCCATTGATGAGGACTCGGTTGACCGCATCATGTCTTGCGTCCGCTCGCTCGCCGAGTTCGCCCAGAACAAGGAGCTCGAGACTGTCTACCTCGACGACACCCGCAAGGCGTTCAGAGCGATGGTCCAGGCCGAGGAGAAGAAGAAGGCCGCCAAGGAGGCCGTTGAGAAGGCCAAGACGGCCATCCAGGTTGACGATGTCGTTCAGATCCGCCAGCTCTCGAAGAAGAATGCTAGCGATGGTCTGGACGAGATCGAGGTTGACCTGGAGCGCGCAACAGGTGGAGAGGCCACCGCTGAGGATCTCTCGTCTAAGCTCAGTCGTGTGGTGCAGCTCACCGGTTTCTCCGACCCTGTTTACGCCGAGGCCTACGTCAAGGTTCACCAGTTCGACATCGTTCTGGACGTCCTTCTGGTCAACCAGACGATGGAGACGCTGCAGAATCTCTCCGTCGAGTTTGCCACTCTCGGTGACTTGAAGGTCGTTGAGCGGCCGACGACACAAAACCTGGGACCTCATGACTTCCACAACGTGCAGTGCACAATCAAGGTGTCCTCTACGGATACTGGTGTCATCTTTGGCAACGTTGTCTACGACGGTGCTCACTCAACGGATACAAACGTCGTCATTCTTAACGACCTTCATGTAGACATTATGGACTACATCCAGCCGGCAACATGTACCGAGACACAGTTCCGCACGATGTGGACCGAGTTTGAGTGGGAGAATAAGGTCAACATCAACTCCAAGGCCAAGTCTCTGCGCGATTTCCTCGAGCAGCTGATGGCGGCGACCAACATGAACTGCTTGACCCCCGAGGCCAGCATGAAGGGCGACTGCCAGTTCCTGAGTGCCAACCTGTACGCTCGCAGTGTATTTGGTAAGTTTACTTTCCCTGGTTCATTGATATTCGCAGCATTTGCAAGCTAACACGATTTCTAGGCGAGGATGCTCTGGCCAACTTGAGTATCGAGAAGGAAGGCGAAGACGGGCCGATTACTGGCTTCGTCAGAATAAGAAGCAGATCGCAGGGTCTGGCCCTGAGCTTGGGATCCCTCAAGGGTCTCAATAAGATTGGCTCAGCGGCATGAGAGACCTGATAAAGGGGATGAAAGGCTATATACGGAGACTTGCGGTTTGTTCCCCTAGCTATCTAAGGCCCACTATGGCTACAGGTGTAATGAAGAGCCAGGAAAGAGACACAAGTGTTGAGTTTTCGATGGTGTATGCCGGGGAAAAGTAAAGCATGTGGTGGTGGTAGTGGCTGGCTTGTCGACAGCGTCGAGTTGAGTTGAAATGGGAATGAACAAGGGGGCGTGGGGGTTGAGAAGGAGAGACTCCCCTCTCCTTTTCTTATCTCTTTGAGGTTAGAGTAAAAAGTGCAGCCCGGTCAGGCGTCATGAGTAGGTAGAAATGAGATGTTCTTGATGTTCAACAAATGGTCTTTTTCCTGCACGCAAATTTGGGTGGGCATGTATGAACGTGTGCATGAGGTATTCAAAGTCCAAGGTGATCATCGTCTCTACTTGCCTCTCCTAAATCACACGAGGAAAACAGGCATTGCAAGACATAAAAAGGCTGAACAGATCTTGAGTAATTATTGGTATTGTACCTCTCCGCAGTGACAGCCACTCATCGCTGCCCTACACCTTGGAGAAAGGCTCGCTTGTCGAATGATCGTAATGACCGCTATTAACAACTAAGAAGAGAAAGAACTAAAACATCTGCGAAGTGCTCATGATGGAAAAAACGAACGCCTGCAATGAATTGCTGACCAACTTCTTTTGTGAGGCAGTGGGTTTCCATCCTCCGGAACGCCTGATCGACTATAAGGGAATATTAAAAAAGAGTCCCGCACCATAATGAAAGGGGGTATTTATCCAGACTGAGGAAAGCCAGACCAAAGGAAAATTCATGCCGAGGTGTGTGCCCAACCAAATCGAATCGAATGTGATCGGGGTGGCGCCATGCCTGCAGCCGTGTTGCGTACGCCATGGCGATGTGCGTTGTGTTTGTCGTCGTTCTTTACTGAGGAGAAGAGTGTAGATCGCGTTGCATGTCTTGAGACGACGTTCTCAGTCGGCGAACCCATGCCGTCTTAAGCCAAATGGACGCATATCTGTCCGCCTGCGATTCTCGGCGATGCTATCTGTCGAAAACGAGGGCGTTGACCACATGACCCTCTGCCCAGCCCTGTTCAGCGAGGGAGAGATTGTCCTTAAGGATCTTGCCCATATAGGCGATGCGAATCTTTTTGGTGCTAGCGAGCTGGGAGCTTGTTAGATGATGTCCTCTCCAGGATAGTTAGGCTGAGGCGGAACTCAAGATATGTTACTTACTCCTGACTGCTCCTGGATCTTACGAGCAACAGTTCTGACGCTATCGCTCTTGACGAAGCTGACAGTGACATCGCGCGCAGTCTCGCTCAGGCGGGCTAGAACGGAGAGCTGGTCCCGGGCGTCGACGACGGCCTTACCCTTCTCTTCTCTCCGGCGGACGTTGTCGTCCTCGTCCAGCTCCTCCGTAGTCTCCTCTCCTCCCGCAAGATCGTCCTTGAGGTCTCTAGTAGAGAGCGCTTCGTCGGCGCCATCAATCGTGGCATCGTCCTCTACCAAATTCGTGGGATCGGCGACAAGCCACTCAGACAGGGGATAGTAGTTGCCCAGTTGATCGTATGCACCCTGAGCAAGATCACCTGTGGGAAGAGTGATCTCTGCCGCATTAAGAATGCCTTGCGCTGTCGCAAGACCATCGGTGCCGTCGTCAGCGGCACCCTGGCTGACGGGGTCCCAGATAACCTCGAGGGCTGCGCGCAAAGACTGCCAGACTTCTGGGCGGCCAGTAACGCGGGTGTCAAAGAAGTCTCTTCGCTCGCGGTCTATTGCGACACGGGTCCAGGCGCGACCCTTAGAAGTCCAGACGTGGCGGCGCAGAGGCTTGTTGATGTGCTTGTCGAGAGGCATACTGGAGTGGCGGCCCCGACGGCGACCGGAGGAGGTCTGTGTTGTTTCGGCAGGAGAGTCATCATCGCGATGAACGGAGGCGGGCGCAGAGTTGATAGCTCTCGCGGAGCCCGTGTTGGTCGGACCCGGGTAGGGGGCTTTAGAGCCCTGGGGACGGGAGAGACAGCAGCCCTATGCAAGAAGGATCGTCAGTCTGAGAACATGCGGGAGGTGGTCGGACGAGGCATGCAGGTATTGGCAGGAAGAGCGCTTGGGCGTATCGGAGTAGTGTCCGACGGCGGTATCATACAGAGACGAGAGGGAGAGGAAGTAAAGATTTACCATATTGTCAACGCCTTCAGATGGAGGATGGGGTGTTCGGTTCTGTGTTGGCGAGGGAGATTGATTCTAGCAAGCTGATGCGTCTCGTGCCATTGCCCAGGTTGTGATTTGCGGCGTGTTGGTGATGATCAAGTGTCGCCGTTGACCTCGAGATGAAAGACGAGTCAAGACAAGCTTCGGCTAGCTGTACTGAACAAAGATGTCAAAAGGTTGGCGGGAACTAATTAGTGGCTTTGCCGTAGAGAGGTCGGGTGGTGAAAACGGGGGCGATGTTGAAAGAGGAGAGGAAACGAGTATGGGCTGTTGGAGGGTCTAGACCCTTGTGTCGTTGACGTGACGATCTGACGCTGGTTGGTCGACGAGCTGCGGCTGTCGTGTATTAAAAAGGCGTGTGTGTGTGTGTGTGTGTCGTGTTGGTCCCGGACGGAGCGTGGGGAGAGCGACGGGAAGTGGTGTAGCTGAAGTCAAGAAAGGTACGTATTCGAGGGGGAGGCGTTGCGAATGGAACGAGAGCAGAGAGAAGGTGGGTGGTGAGAGGCACAGAGCAGAGAGGAGCTCCTCAAAAACGTTACAGGCGGCAGAAGGAGGGCAGCAGAGGAGAAGATGAAAAGTGACGAGAGAAAGTGAGGGACTAGGACTGTGTTTGGGAGGGTGGGTGAGGCACCTGGGGTCCAGCGGTGACGAAAGGAAGGATTACTGCGAGAGGTAAGGTAGCAAGTGAGGTGAGTGGTGAGAGGTGAGATGATGAAGGCAAGGTGAGTGTGGTGAGTGAGTCTCTCTTGGTACCTTATCGCTCACCTCTACGGATACCTAAGTAGGTACCTTAGTACATCTCGAGGTAAAAAATGGAAAGAATGCAGCAGATGATCAGTGGTTGCAGTTCCCCGGAAGAGGATATCGGCAGCAGGGATGGTGCTAGTCCAGGCTTGTCCAGTGGGTTGCCGCTGTGAGACGTCGAAATTGGGCTTGTTTTTCGCTTCCCGTCCGCTTCGCTTGCGAAGAGATAAGGCGAGAAAGCAGTGGACCTCGACTTTTCGTCCCTTTTCCCCCTTTGAGCATTCCTCTTTTAAGATCCGAGGTACCTTACCTTACCTTACTCCGTACCTTGTGTATGATTTGAATGCACGCACCCGTGGGATATCTCTGGGTTCAGCATCCAAATCAAGACATGTTTTGCTCCTTCGAGTCTCCCGTTTGCACGTGGATTATCCTCTTTCAGAAATATTCGAAAGACGCTAAGAGACAACGGATCGAGACATTGGATCGGCCCAGCCACATGGTTCTCTCTCCCCTAAGTGTCTCTCATATCCGTACAGACACACAAACTCCCTTCAGTGTCCGCAGCTATTTTATTCCTGTAAGTCCAGTTCTTCCAGGTTTGGTCACAAGTGCCTTGGCGAGATCCATCCGAAAAGTCGGCCCAGCACAGGGTCCTCCCCGGCATTCCTCAGCCCAGCCCACTCGCTTCATGCCGCAAGACTCCTCCCCCCTCCATCGGCCTTCTTTTTCACCCTCGTGCTCTACATACACTACGATTGGCCCTCAGTGTTGGTTGTGAGGGGATCCGTCCAAGGTTCTGCTGAGCCACCATGAACTGAACGCCTGATCAATAAACAAGGACAGCGGCCAACTGCATACCGATGGCTTATAGCAGGCGCCTCTACCGGCACATCTCGATCATGCACGCGAGTTAGAGACACCATCCGTGAAGGCAATTCACTAATCACTTCAACTTTTCCTAGTAGTATTCGTAGAGGTCATAGCGGTGCTCAAATTGGCGCTTCTAGAATGGATATCGACCGGGGCCCGTCTCGTATTACTACGTACACCAATTGAAACGCCATTGCCGAGATCCCGTTACCTGACTCCAGCGCCAATTTGGAAGTTTGCCTTAGTAGCACATAAGATCTGCGTCTCCATCGCAACACCAGATCTGACACCTCAATTTGCGTCCCAGGCTTAGATGCATTTCATCGCGTCATGCCCCCTCCGACCTGACAATTAACATGTGCGCCGTGCACGAGTTGGACGTCAGTAAGGCCATGCTTTATGTCCCAATCCAGGGCATCCCCCCTTGACGTCCCGAGTTGTCCGCCTCTTCAGACGAACCGGGCGCACCGGCCATCCCTGAAGATCCAAATTGTGGGCTCTTTGTAGGCTTGATGCTTCATCAACCCACGGAGCCTCCGTGTCATGCCGTCCCGGCACCTGACCCAGTCTTCCTTGCCCGCTGTCTCCCGGTATTCTCGATCTAAGCCCATTTTTGAAGCCAGACTTCCGTCCGTACCTATCAGCAAGGTTGGAGGTAAGCTCTGTAAAAGCCCGATGCCGATGACGTTGGCATCTTTCGTCATTGACGGCTCCTTGACTTCCACAAATCCCGCTACCGCCGACAGTATGTGGCACTTCGCGGCTAGCATCGAATTGGTATCCGACCTTCCGACAAACCAGAAGCTAGAAACGCGATCGAATCCAGACAGTTATCATTGATACTGAACGACTACCACAGGAACTGGCGACAATTCTTGCTGCCGCAAAGACACGGAACCATGTCGCCTTGCTTGCTCTTGTCCTTCGCATCAACAGCGTCGTCGCTGACACCGTCGACGTAGTCGAACGTGAGCTGCTCTCCTCGGGGAATGTCGCGAAGCGCAAAGAAGGCAAGGTCGTGAATGTGTTTGTCGGCGTGGTCTCCCACGCGCGCAAAGATACGCAAATTCGGTTCGCAGGAGTGATTGATGAAGCGAGTCGGGCCGGACATGAATTCGCCATCTATCTCGAGCGGGGGCCCTTGCAGGCGCATGTCAGGGGAGTCTTCATCCGTGAACTTGTCGAGTGCGAAAAGGTACACGTCCTTCTGTTGCGCAATATTCGACGTATCCCGTCGGCGTTGGGCTTCCTGTGGTGTAATGATCTCGCCAATGTAGTTATCGACGAACTGTCCTCGTCGAATGTCGAGCAACGATCGAACACCTATTCTCATAGAGTAAGCTTCTCTCCAGCATGGCAGCAGCCTCTCAGCTCAACTCACCCCAGCCCGTCTTCTCAGTCCGGAAAATCTGAAGAGGAACCTGACGACCTCTCTCGACCACCCTGTTAGGACAGGTCACATCGCATGCGCAGCCTTCGTGGCACTCGTAAATGGGCCGCGTCGAGCCCAGGAATTTTGACCGCAGCAACCCAGCTTTGACGCCGTGCATATGGTACATGTAGGCCTTCTTTCTCGCTTCGCCCTCGTCATCTGAGTCGTCTTCTTGCTCCTGCAGGCAGAGACAGCCCGCATACTGGCATTCTTCCTCGTCTTCACATTCGCATCCGCTTCGGAAACTATCCTCTGCGGCTTGTACCCCGTGGCCGAGCTTTGAGTGCTGCAGAAATCGAAAGTTGGGCGGTATTATTTCGTCGTCGACCTCGTTTACGATAGTGATTGGGTATTGTTTATGGTTCGGAAATGCTCGAATCTGGCACCATTGGCAGTCCAGCTTTTCTCTCTCAATGGCCTGCAGTATATTCAAGTCAGAAAAAGCTCCCATCGTGTAGCAGTGTCACATAAATGATCGGGAAAGTGCATTGCGTTCGTAGGACTGTGGGATACTCTACTCTGAGGGCGGTCTTGGTCGCGCCAGGCTTCGGAGCGCCATGGTGGAAGAAGTGGCGCTCAGTTGCTGCCTCCATGTTATGCGCTGTTATGTATTCACGATGGCTCGGAAACGTTGAAAGGCATCCCGAGAGTGACGGAGAGGGAATATGTAAGTAGGTGGAGGTGTTCGCAGCTTATCCATGGTCGGAGCTGGAACCGCGGTGCGACTTGACCATCGGCGGCAGGAACCACCGACCACTTTACGCGACGCGTCCAAGCTCTCTGGACTGCTGACTCAGCCGCCAATCTGGTGGGGCCGCGCTTGGCGGTCCTCTCCGGCCTGGAACCTTCTTCTCCCTTCTCTCAACTATTCATCTTTACCTTTCCCCAGGACAGTCACGATGCCTTATCAAACATGATGGTCTACGAACATACCAACAAGGCGACATATCAAAGAGAATGACAAAACTCGACGCATGAAAGTGGACTGCTATTCTCTAGACGACTTACACATTCCTGGGCTTGTTCTTACACTGAGGCTTGAACGTAGACCCAAGCTCGCCCCATTTGATATTGCTGAACGTCACAACCGGGTTCGGCTCAACCTTGACAACGTTCTCCGGGAATCCTTCCGTCTCATTGCATGGCCCGGCTTCCGGCGCACCGTCCAGCCACCTCATCCCACCGCCGGCATCCCACCAGATGCTAAACGCAAGCACCACGCCCCGATCAAACGACTCGCCCATCTCCCGGTGCGCCCCGAGATCCATGAACCGCCGCGAGCCCGTCGCCGCGCAGAACTCATCGTTGAGGTAGTTGACCTGCGGAAGATCAGTGTTGTTGACGACCTCGCTGCGGATCAGGTGGCCGTCTTGGATGTAGAGGCGGTGGATCTCGGTGAGGACGCCGGCTTCGTTGGCGGGGAACTGTGTGATGACTGTGAAGGGACGCGTGGTGTCGACATCGAACCCTGAGCCGCGGCCGTAGAAGTCATCTTGGTTGACTCTGTTTCTAGGGTTAGGTTCTGTTCAATACTATTGGACTGCAAAGCTGGTCACTGACCGGTACGGGTTCCAGGCACAACCGTTCTTGTCGCAGACGCCTTCAAAGGCACAGTCTTCGCCCTCGCAGAGATAGACACCAGTCTGGTTGCACGGGTGCGGCGCCAGATGAGCAGAACGCGAGTTGGCCTCCCATATGTCCTGTGATGGCACGTTAGTCGCTTCTTGAGTACCCACCAAGGACAGACAACTCACCATCTCATTGCAACATGCACCGTATCCTTCAATGTTGGCTTCACCGTTGATGAACGGCGTAGTATAGCACTGGGCGTCGCAGTACCCCGTGCCGTGACGAGCGCCACCAGTGTTGAGCGCGCTCTTGCCACCGTCGGCCTCCATCTCAGAGGTATACAGGGCGCTATTCATGCCACACGGCAACTTCGATACATCGACGTCAAACGTGAACTCCTTGCCCGTCAGGTGCATCATCTCATATTGCTCCTTGGAAGGGTCAAGAAGATACACGCGCGGAGACACCTGCACGCCGTCCTTGAGCTGGTACATGGTCATGGCGCCGCCGTTCGTCGTGACGCCGACGCGGCTGTAGTCGTCGAGACCTTCCTGGACACAGTTCTCGGCGCAGGCCTCCTTGGTTGGGCACGCCGTCTCGTTGGGCGGGCTGCCCCAGGAGCCACAGCTTCCACCGCCGTTGGCCTGGTAGACGTTGTGCGCGAGGGAGTCGAGGACGATGAAGTTGTTGACTTCAGTGCAGCCGCCGGCCTTGGTACAGCGCCATGTCGTGAGTGAGGGGTGGTTCTCTTCGGGCCCAATCTGACGCTGGGCCGCTGCCAGGCCTATGAAGAGAGTGGCAAGGCCCAAGCGGGACAGAGAAGACGCCATCATGACTGGGAAGCCGTGATGAGTTCCTGAAAAGAGATATTGCGACGATTGCGCCGGTAGACAGAACAGCGCGCGCCTCGACCAAACAATCGGGAGAAGGAGGTCTTTATATATGTTCAGACATCTCCGTCCAACTTAACCATGGCTGTCGGGTCTCTTCCCGTTTACCCATTATGAACTCGCTCAGGGGTGCATTGGCAACGGAACGCGCTCTCCAGGGAGCCAAATTTCCGTGATTGAGCTCTATTCCTTCTTCCTGTCCCGTCTTGTTCCTCTTGAGGCGAAGGAAGGTCACCCTCCGAAGCCTTTGTCTGGCTGTCTGGGCGCTGTGACATTGATTGCCGACAAGGGTTCGCAGCTTTGATTCAAAGGTTATCCGCCACGAGGTAAGTTGGAAACAGGCCTAGTGCCATGCTAAATGTGCTTGGGTAGTCAAACGTTCATTATTCTCCAGCTCCCTTCCCTCGTGGCTTCACGGTAGAACGGGCCAGGAACCGTGCATGGGGGGAAGATCTGGCCGCTCGCTTGGATGCGACTCTACCCTCCCCTTCAATCTTTGTGCAGATGAACCTGCATTTGGTAGATTGCTCGACTTGATGAATCATCCAGTCAGGTCGCCCTTTAGAAGTCCGTCGATTAGCCGACCACCGTTCCTGGCAGAGGTCGCATTTATACCAGTCTTTCAGTCATTTTGCTCATGGTGTTTGCTGGACGATGGAGATGAGCAGAAAGCGGAGAGAATCATAATTAAGGACGGCGGCTTCCGCTCGACTACCCCATTTCTCCGCGTGAAGCAATTACAGGGGTGTTCGACCAGGGTTTAGTGAAGCGATCCATCTTGAACACTCAAAGAGGGGGGGATAGCTCTTCCGGCTCGGATTCTGGCCCTCTGGGGTGGATGCCAAGCTATTCTGCGCCCGTAGCAGAGAGGCATGCCACGCAACCTATTTCTCGCCTTAAGTCTTCAGCCTTGATGTTGTTATAGGTTATAGAATCCATAAGCTCGGCCTGAGATCGGAAATATTGGACATCATCTGTGGCCTCATTGTGGAGATGTCAAATATCGCTATCACCAGCGCCAGGCAGCAAGATGTTGTCGGAAGATGATTCGCGAGTCGCGTCTTACTTGCATACGTCAGTCCACAATATTGCCAGAAGGGGTTGAAGAAGGACCAAATCCTTGGAATAACAGAGTCCAAGACTGTTGCGTCAAGCAATACTAAAGCGATGTATGAACGAGGTTTTGTCGAGATAATGCGACTTCTCGTGCCTCATAACCCAATGTCTTGAACAAAAGAGGACTGAAAATCCCTCATTCGAACGACAGCAATTGAACTTAGCCCAGTCAACGACGGCAACATCGATTCCGATTGACGATAGGTATAGACGAACAAGTCAAGAATCTTTGCAGACACACTCTGACCGAGACGTAGCAGCAGCAATGGGGTCATCAAACACCGACATTACCGCCAAACTCACCGAATGGCACGAGGAATGGTCCAGCGAACAGACCGACAACGATATTTGCACTGCCTACGTCTTCTCCCCTGAGTGGGAGTCTCTCGTTCCCCCTCGATGGGCCGCATACGATGACCTGGAAAAGAGACGCCTGACCGAGGGAGCACCGCGACTAGAATGGCAGGACTCAGTTGACCAAAGCCGGAAGGCATTGTTGGCCATGAAGAACTTGCACTTCAAGCCCCTCGAACCTAGGCTGTGGCCGGTATGCCCGCTGTGGGTTCATCTAGCCAGATACAAGGGAGGGCCAGACTTCGATGGCCATAAGAGGCTGCACGGCTGGGCCTCGCTCCTCGATGACTGGGAGGAAATCCAACGCTTGATTCGAGATGAGCCCGAGTTCTGCCGCTCACTTTCGCCTGCTCAAAGAAGATCGTTTGACCTTCTCCGATACTGGTGGAAAGCGGCCTACTGCAACGAAGAGCTATTGCGTGCCACCTCTACGCGTCTAGAAAAGAACCGACCGTTTTGGACGATATCAGATCCTTCCGATGGATACAATCTTCGTCGCATCGCCAGCGAAGTCAAGACAGACACCTCCCTCTACCACTCGCATCTATTCAGGCTCTTCCTCTTCGAATTCAATCCGATGTTTTGGGAGCCTTTTCTCTGCCATATGAAGCTTTCTAGACTTCAGCATGCCCGGTATCGATCTTCTTGTATCGCGACCATTCAAAAGCTTTCCTATCCAGTGCTACATCCAAGCCATTCTCCTGCCGGTGAACAAACCCCATATCCTACCGTTGTTCAGAACGATGCGGAACACCAGAGAATCACCGCTGCCCAAGCGAGCATCAACCCGTACTATCTCTGGGACAACGAAAGTCAACAGACAGTCACCGTGGAGGAGCTGCCCGAATGCCCTCCATACGTATGTATCAGCCACACATGGGGTCGCTGGCGAACACGAACCGACACAACTGTTCCCGGAGTACCGTGGCTGGTCCCAGAAAACACCATTTATGATGTACGCGATCTTCCCGGACAGCTCAAGGAACTTGGCTACCGCTATATCTGGTTCGATTTATTCTGCATTCCGCAGGACAAGAGCGATCCGAGGGCTGCCCAGGAGATTGCGAATCAGGCGTCAATTTTCAAGGGATCGAGCCACTGCATCGCCTGGATCAACGACGTCGAGTCCTGGCATGGCGTGCTAGCCGCATTAGACTGGATGAGTCTCAAGTCGCAGTCAATCTTGTCGAACCGTGACACCGACGCAATCAAGGACAGAATAGCCGAAGCAACACAGGCGGCCACAGTGGCGATGGAGCTGCTAAAGAAAAAGCGCCGTGAGAGAATGGAAGATCTAGTCGATCTTGTTGACGATCTTACGGCAGGCGAGCCAACCTTTTGGATGTCCTCACTCTGGACTTTGCAGGAGTGTATTCTCTGCCCTGAAATCCAGCTGTATACTCGCACCTGGATCAGGCTGGAAGATCGGAGCGGGACGGCAATCTCGTTGAGAACCCTCATGGTAGTTCTCAGAGACACTCGAGATTTCAACTTGCTGCCAGAGCCCATTGGAACCTCCTTCAGCGAGCCCTTTCAGTACGATGTGAAACTCGTGAATGATCCGAACAGGAAGACCATCCAAGACAGCACCAGCGACCGGACGTTTCCAAGTGCAGTGAGGGACCTCTACCAACTCTGCATAATGACCCGGCTTGACAACGCTCTCACCGCCGGCTCACCCACAACCATCCTCACAAATGCGAACCTTCGACACTGCTCATCCAGCCGCGCTCCAGCCATCATGTCTGCCGTGAGCGTGACGGACTGGTACGTCGAGAAGCTGGAGGCTTCAAAGTCTACCAGCAAGCCTGCCCCAGCGGAGCCCATGGTCTACGGAACATACCCCCTCGCTTTCCTCCGCGAATGTTCGCGGAAGTTTGGAGCAATCTTTTACCAAAGTATGGCCAGGAATCTCGTTCGTTCCACGGGCACGGCCAACGAAATGCGACGGGTCCTGAAGCGGAACGAATCTGGTGGGACCATGCTACCCGTGTCCAAGACCACGGGCTGGTATGCCGGTATCTCGGGATCCTCGGATCATACCTACCTTGATCGTCAAGATCACGAGACAGTGGCAGATTGGCTTATCAATGAGGACGCGAGCGTTTCTATGCGCGCGGTGGGCATCGCCTTGACATCGGATGACAAGCCGGGGCCGCGCAAGTTATCGGGCAACGTTGACTGCTTTTTACCTCAGGACGACGTGATAGCGGACAATAAATCAAAGAGATACACGGCGAATGTTCAGGATATGCTGGCGACGCTAAAGGACTTGAGTAATGGGTCGCGGCGGATCTATGCGGTTGCGCTCTATGAGGACTTGGGCCTCGTACACGGCGTATTGCTGGAGAAGTTGCCTTTGTCCATGTTTGGGAAACACTATCTCAACAAGATTGGTCAATTCTTTTTGAAGAATGAGTCTCTTCCTCCGACTTCAAAAGTCGATTGGAAGGTGTTGTAGAGGCTGCACAGTCTCTGTGTCTTGCACAAGTCATCAGCCGATTGAGATGGTAGGATATATGGCGCGAGCTCGTATACTTAGAAGAGTTGCAACGTTCCTTCTCCAATGTGAACGAAGGCTGAAAATGGGACGGTGTATATATGCGCGTTTCTCTTTGCCCAAGTGTTTCCACGGTCATTGAAACCAAAACCACAATCTTAAAGTCCTTCTAGCATCTCTTGCACCCTCTTCCTACCCTCCCTAACCGACGTAACCTCCTCCATCCGCAGTGTAGCCTCAACACACGCCTTCTCACCAGCCAACACAACCCTGAAGTCCTTCACGAGCGCAGCCGCCACCGCCTCCTCCGTCCGCGAAGTGCCCTCCCACCCGAAAAGACGCACAAGATGCATGAACAAGACGCTCCACAGCTGCTGACCCAGCCAGAGGTACTGCATAGACTCGTTCATCCACGACAGCAGTAGCAGTCCCGCGGGGAAATAGAGGACAAAGGCGTACACCGTCACTATGCTGGCTACCTCCCTTGCGCGGTCGAGGGCGCTGTCGCGGATTGGGTGGCCGTAGTGGCGGAAGAACTGGAAGCTTGCTTGGGAGGCTGGGGAGGGGGTAGAGATGAGGAGGAAGCCGATGGAGGGGACCTCGACCTCGAAGATTTCTGTTTCCTGGTGGTGATCTGGGGAGGCGGGTGTTGGGTCCTTCTCAGTGATTGAAGCTTCGGCTGCTGGTGAAGATGGAGCTGTCACGTTTAGGGTCGACGATTCGGGTGAGCCTTCGTCGTGTATCACGCTCTCTCGGCGAACGCGCGCCACCGCGGCAAAAAGCTTCAGGAAGAGAGGAATGCAAAGGAAGCCGATGAACCATTTTGCTGGGGCGTCTTGTCCGTCTCTACTTTGGTTTGACCAGATTCCTGCAGCGACTGCAAGCAGGATTGAGGATAGCTCCGATACAACAATACCTAGCAATGTTCTGAACCCGAAGTTTTCGTTAAATGCCTTCAGTTGTGGAGACGCTTCGCTTCCTTGACTGGATTGGAATTCCAGATCAAGACGGTATATCCGCCTTGTAGTCCTGACCGTGTCTGCCGGTGCCTCACCTCCCTCCTTCAGTCGTACAGTATCCGGCACCGGCGCCGGACCGGCCCCGGTCCAAGACCCGCCCAGACTGATGCGATCGTCAACATGCTTCAAAACCTCAATCCAGAAGCCATTCCGCACGGCACGTGGTAGCTTCCGGCCTTCGGGGGTGGTTGCCGTCTTGTGGAGGTAATGGACGCTGGCTTTGTCGGAGAAGAAGGTGGTACCGAGCATGTCGCCCCGCCGGCGACCCTTGTACAGGCCGTGATCGCGGAACTTATCCAGCGTCTCGAGGGCTGCGCGGTGGAGGGGCCCGCCCATGGGCATGAAGAGGGCCAGGCGGATAAGCGCGATGGCGTCAACGGCGTTGTAGAAGCGTTCCGGCCATAAGAGGCGTTCGAAGAGGCTTATGCCCGCGACTTCGGCGCCTAGGTAACCCAAGACTGCGCCGAGGGCTGATGATGTTGCTGACATTTTCTCGATGTTGTTATCACTACCTAAAATGCGGTCACGATGAGGGAATCTTGGGTATGTTTGATGGGGCAAGAGAAAAGAAGAGCTGGAAGGGCTATTGAGTGAACTTCAACCCGCCTTTTAATATGGAAGATTTTCGGTGTGCTCAACTTGAATCCTTCTCTTATTCAAAGCAAGAGTTGAAGCTCAGTGAGGTTGGTTTGCTTTACTGACATTTGGAGAAGCTGATGTGATACCGCGTCCTGCACCAGACCCTGGTCTGCATGTCAGATTTGTCTGCTCATTCGTCCCAGGAGCGAGCCGTGGGGCTTGACGCACATGAAGTGTAATAAGTACTGCAGGTCATTGCTGCTTACGTCTGACGTTCTTCGCAACGTAATTATGCCTCATTTGGGACTTTGGTATTCCTCTTCGTTCAGTGAAGCGCTTTTGGGAAGATTTCTGCCTCGCCGAGAGCCTCACAACTTTGCTACACAATACCTATTGGGGGTTGTTGATAAAGTACGCCGACATCGGGAATACATCACTCCCAGTCAATAATACTCTACCGGTATGGTAAGTGCAGCTCGGCGACGGATTCGTAAATCATGAAACACAATAGTCATTGACATGCATGACATTCAGGAAAAGTTAACTGCCTTAGAGGACATCGACGACTTCTGGCCGCGGTTAACTGCCTCAGAAAACGCCGATGACTACTGGCCCCGGCGACTATTACACATACCAACACTGACATCAATCCCGAGAGACGAGCGCAACGTCTATGGAACAACGGAGAAGCCAAAGTACAGCATCCTCACTTACACTTGGGGCCGCTGGAAAATCAGGCATGATGACCATGCCGTCCCTGCATTGCCGGTGAAGGGCGTCCCGTGGAAGATACCCTCAATAAAAGAATCTCACTTCACGGTGAACTCGTTCCGGGCCGTTGTTGATTCCATGGCGTTTGAGGACGTTGAATGGGCATGGATTGATATCGCTTGCATAGATCAAGAAGACGAGATCATGAACGCGGAAGAAGTTGGTCACCAGGTCGCTATTTTCGACAAAGCAGTCAAGGTGCATGTTTGGCTGTGCGAGGCAACACAGGAGAGTCTCACGAAGGCTTTTCACGACATGAACGACGGCCAATTGGAATCCATCACTTTCAGCACCTTCAGCACATTAAAAAACCAGCTCATGCCCTCGTACATGACCTGGGAAGACGTTCGCCACCAGGAGTACAGGATGACGGCCGTACGCGAGACTATCGACCGTATTAGTTCTGGACTGCAAACCGTACTCAACGATCCCTGGTTTTCATCTCTGTGGGCCTTGCAGGAGGCCGTGTTGCGCAATGATGCTGTGATTTTGAGCGCAGAAGGGCTTCCGTGTGTTTGGATCACGTCCGATGACGGCAGAAAGTACCAAGCATATCTTGCAATGTTCGTCAATTTTTGCAACAACATCTACTTGGATGTCGTCAATATACTACGAGGCCTTGAATACCACGAACAGATGGGCTACGACTTAAGCGACTGGGAAGTAGACATGAAGACCAAGATCGAAAAGACGCAATCACTCCTTACCCGTTCCGGCATGTATAAGTTGCCTACATCGAACCCCAACATCCCTTACAGCATGGCATGGTCTAGGCAGACCTCGAGACCGGTAGACCGCATCTATGGTATTATGCAAGCCTACAACCTGCGTGTGGGCAAGGTCATTCGGCCGCATGATAACCCTTCCCTGGCAGATCTCGTCCAAGAATTTGCCTTGGCAATAGTCAACAAGAATCCCGTTCTCAGCCAGCTATTTGTTCACAAAGAAAAGCCTGCCGAGTCACTAAGCTGGCGCATCACAGAGAACTCGGTTGTTCCGGCCAACTTTAGATCGCCAAGAGGTTACGTGGTGAAAGCTCGATTTTATCTCCAAGGACAAGATGTCATGAGGGCACGCGGTCGAGTCTGCCGCTTGACTGATGCCCTTGAAGTGCAAGATAAACTTGTTCAATTCCTCAAGGAGACAGACACGTCTGAATACGCTGAATTCAAAGACGTGGACCACGACTACGACCGTATCAGAATCATGACAGATGCCGGATTCACACAAGAGCATCTGAACCTCAACGGCTACTTGTCGCGGTTCGATTTACCGGGGTTCGGTTGGCTGTTTCCTCAGAAAGCTAATTTGCCATTGGTTCTCCGCGACTTATGGGTATTCCATGTTGGAGATATTGATTCAACTCGAGGAGAACTTCTGAATATCCCTGAGAGCATAGCTGTGCTGCTTCGTCCCGCAAATCAGCCAGCCAATTCAGGCAGTGATAGTAGCGAATGGGCGGACGTTCCTTACATGCGGGTTGGACTTTGCACCTGGGGACCGGAGGAGGAAGAAGGAAAACGCATGATGAACGAAGACATTGACTGGAAGTCTGTGGATTTTGAGTTCCACTAGAGCTCTGTTTCTAATTATTTTCGTTTTACCGCATCGATGGATAATTCGATGGAGGTCTTCTATCCTGCCAGTTGCTGGAGGGGTCCGTACATATTTGCTTATGAACATACTTTCCCGAAGGGCAGCGACGATATATCTGTCAGACGATTCCGCTTGTATCCGCCTATGAATGATTTCGAAATAAAGTAGCAGTTGAGCGAGGACTGAAGCTGAGTATAGGGACTCCGGCGAAGCCCATAGTGGATGTTACCTACAATGAAGAGGAGCCGTCGATTTGTAATTTTACGATTCCACGTCGTATGTAGTTCATGCATCGCGACCCGACATGATAGACGAGTCTCGTCGCCTCTGGAATTATTGAAACTAGTTCTAAATATCTCTCAATCATTCTCATTGTCGCTGGGTTTTCTTTGCAATCATTGGTAATGAGTCTTGATAACATCAACAATCACACTGTGATCCTCATCCTGTTTCAGACCACTGACAACCACAACAGCCACAACGCCCTCAACTCCTTGCACACGGATGGGCACGCCGCCACCGTGAATGGCGTACTTTCCAGCCTGTTCCGTGCTCATACCAAACTTTGAGGCAAAGAGCTGCTCATCGCCGCCCAGCTTGTTGTGAAGAAGCCAGGTGCTGCAGCCCCATCGGAGCACGGCGTTGCGCTTGCGCTGCACCCACGTCTCGTTGTCGGGAAGAGAGCCGGATCCGACGGCCGTCTGGAAGAGCACCTGTTGGCTGTTTGCCAGTGCAATCGAGATGACTGTGGGCTTCTTGTTGACGAGGGCGAAGGGGAGGAGTCGGGCATGAAGGAGATGTCCTAGTTCAAATGCATCCTCATATGTGAAGGACTGAAAGGTGATGGAATCACACTCTTGTTGAATCACCTCGACCTGCAAGCTTATTAGAGTTTGCTACAGCCTCATTGTCGTTGTGCTGGCTTATGTTGCTCTAGGGTAGAACTCACGTCGCGAGGCGGCGAAGGGATCGGAGTCGGAGCGGCGGCAGGGTCGCGGACGGCAGCGAGTGACTTCTCCAAGCCGAAGCCTGCGGGGTGTCGGCGGGTCCAGACTTTTTGAGACATGTTTGGTTGGGGCGCTGAAGCTTGCGGAAGCGGTCTTAACCTTTCGAGATATGTGTTGAAGAGTGAAGAGTTGTTTCGCGGTGCTTTTGGCGATGAAGCTGCTGACGGAATGCTTTCTGATGAGTCGTCGTCGTCTCTGTCCTGCAACTGAAGAAGCAATCAAGTTATTAGATAGCAATTCTTCCCCTTCCGTGTTCTCGGCGAGCGAAAGCGGCGCTATTGTGCTCTTAATAATTCCCTAACGAGAATGCATCCCCCCCCAATCCCATCCCACACCGGCTGGGTCCCAACCGTCATGCAGCCCACTTGGTGCTTCTCAACTGTTACAGTTACCCTATTGGGAATGGAGAGTTCAAGAACTTACGGAGCCGGGCCTCTCTCCATGTTGCATGATAGGCTGCAAGAGGGGTTTTGTGACGGGTGCTGTCGCGCTCGATGCTGGGGTTTGCGCTGCGCTGCTGTCCCGCGCCGTGCTCTCTGCCGCTGCCGGCGGTGCGCTTGCTCGCGCGCTGAAGCTTGACTGACCTACGGCGGCGGCTGCTGCTGCTGCTTCGGCTGTGCCATTTCGCCCATTCTTCTTGTTGGGCGTCTTGGAATATCGATATAGGCCCCATTCTCGGAGTCGGCGCTGGAATGTCTTGCCGTTGACTTCGTATCCCTTTGCGGCGAGGCCCTTTAACATGCTCTCGACCGTCTCGCGCCGGTTGAACGCCGCAATGATTTCATCCTTGAAGGGCTCCAGGTCGAGACGGGGCCGTCCGGGAGGCATTGTCATTGTCCGAGCGCTTTCGCACCGAGTACATGTATACTTTCCACGGCACGGCCCTTTCAATCATGGGTACATATGTGATTGGAGGCGCGATTCAATAGGTGTAAGGTAGCTGATGAGATGTCCGCGAAGAGATGGCGGGTATTGATCCTAGGCACACGGGCGCCGCTTTCGCCGGATTGACGATTTGTCTTTCTGGTCAACATTGTGGCTGACAGCCACAGTGGCTGATATGCCGCCCTCAAATCCTGTTTCTCCCGACTAGCAACTCTGTCAAAGTTCAGAATCGTGATTAGCAAATTAGAGTTGATTGAGGGAATTGCGTCTCGCTCGCATAATACAAATTCTCAAGATATCCACTATCAAATACTTAGTTATGATTTTGGGGCGACCAACCTACTTACTCACTCAGCTCTAAGACGATTGTAAGGCTTTGACCCCTTGATCATTTTCGTGGTTGAAGTTGCCGAGGATATTGAGTTCAACGAACCATATAGCCGTCTTGAAACTCCGCAAGTTGAAGAATGCAACATCTCGGGTTCGCTTTCATTGTAAAGCCTAGAGCCAATGTGATGGACTGCCGTGCTTCGTATTCGTAACCAAAGTCCGCCGCCCTCGCGGACTGTAATGAACCCGTGCGGATGAGACAATTACTCTTCACTTGAGATGGCATCCCTGAAGCTTCATCAACTCAATTTCTGTAGATATAAAGCACATGTAGCCTCTTACTGACTGTATCACCCGAAAGCATTGAATCAAGCCTAATTATACCGGCAACAGCGCGAGCGGATTTTTATTTCCGCAATCTCCTCTCTTCCACCTGCCTACTTCAGGTAGTGTCGTTTTTTGATAACTCAAACAAGTTGAAGCTACAAATATAGTACTTCCTGTCGACATGACCTCCCTCCCCCGCGCAGTCCAGACCATTATAGACAAGGATGAGATCCGAACCGTCATCTATCGGTTCGCTCGTGGAGCAGATCGCCTGATTCGCAACGTCGTCCAGTCCGTCTACCACGAAGATGCCACAGATAACCACGGGACCTACAACGGCCCAGCCAAAGACTTCTTCGACTCAATGGGCTCTAATTCAATCAAGACCGCCCATCACCAGATCGGTCAATCTCTCATTGAGATTGAGGAAGATGGTCGCAAGGCGCATGCAGAGACGTACTGCACCGCTACAACGATCGTCGGAGTTGGACAGGAGGAGAAGTGGACTACGTTCTTGGTGCGTTATGTTGACAACTTGGAAAAGAGAGAAGGTGAATGGAGGATAACTCACCGTTTCTGTGCGTTTGACGGCGCTTCTGAGGGTGCTATTATGGGATATCTGCCGAAGGAGAACCTAGGTACCCGTGACGAGAGTGACTACTCTCGATGTGTCTTCAAGGATTAGAAATCTTTGGCTCTTCCACCTTTCCCGGAGTTCATGTAAAATAATGAAATGGAGGGACTGATCCTCGAAATATTCGATGCTTACCAAGCACTCCGTGCCTCAAGGCTCAAGTCATGGCATCAAGTCTGGAAAAGTAAAGATCGTTGACAGACTCACAAAATATGAGAATGAACATAACCCGACTGAATGTATACTTCATTAGCCTAAAGCAACGTTCCCGTGCGTGGGAAGCTTGAGAGGCTGCGTAGGGATGTCAAGTCGAAACATTTTGAGATACAGATTTCTACTCACAACCCCAGGACAAAGACGGAGGAGATTCAGATCACGTAACCCAGCTTTTGTTTGCCCAAATATACGACAGCCCACAGACGTTTGTCAAAAGCTGAGTGGCCGATTCCTTGCAACACCAACCTCGCCAATTGGATGTCTTATTGGTGCCCCGGTCCAGACGAGGTGCGGTAGGTGGCTTTACGACCTCAAAGGAAATCGAGGCAAGGATCAAAAATCGGAAGATCTGCCAGCCTGAGCTATGAGTTGGAAGCTGCCCCGACTAAAGTTTCTCTCAAGACATTCCCCATTCCCAAGCGCAGGGCTATTCACGATGTTGGTTCGTAAGGTCCCGGTCCTGGCACCAGTCAACAACCCCGAATTTGGTGCTAGTGACAGCAGCCCGTCAACTCACGCCCCCCTCCTCGATTATTTCCCGCCCACCCGCGAAGCACGAATCCGCTGTCACCAAAGTGCGACTTCCTCTCCGAGTCCAGCTGTGGTGTGAATAAAGACAGTCATCGAGCTTGGTACGAAGGCATTCGTCATCCGGGGCCAGCCTAATATAAGTCTGGACGATGCCTACAACAATCATAGCACCTAGCTTGTAACTGAAAGCCTTTCTGACGAAATGGGTACCAGTACAAGACGCAGCCCACTGACTCACCTAATATCAGCACCTTGTCATGTTTCGTTATCAGTGGTACATCCAATTTGAGAGATGATCTTGAAGAGCCCATGTCTCGTGGGTGCAGAACGACGAGGAATTCTGTGAAGCCTTTCTGAAGCACATCTGCATTCTCTCAAACCAATTAGAGATTGGAGAATCTGTCTTGCAGCTCCTCGCATCGTAGGATTGCCAATATCTCTTCCACATAATCGGCAGCGAACATATCCCTCCAGGACCCTATTTTTTCTCCAATAGTGGAATCTTCGGCCCTTGTCGCCTCTTCTCCGACGATACCGAATCTTTTGTTTTGAGCACGATACCAAGTCAAGAAGATCCTCAAACGTAAGTAGGCCGGCCGGGCATCACTTTACGCAGCCCCCCATTCCCCTATCTCTTTTGTCACCGCGGGATTAACATGATCAAAGGTATCAAACGTTGCACGCCGCTGCATTTGGGGCATCGTCGCTCTGTGTTGCAGTTCCTTCGAGGATCAACTCTTCTAAAGCTGATCATACGCCGTTTGCTGGACTGAGAGTTGCAGTCAAAGACTTGTTTGACCTCAAAGAAGTTCATACGGGATGTGGAAATCGGGGTTACCGTAGGCTGCATGGACCTTCAAGTGCTTCTTCCGATGATGTACAGCGTGTCATCGACCTTGGAGGGGTCATTGTTGGCAAGACCAAGACTGTTGAGTTTGGAGGGAGCCAAGAGGTTATTGGCGACTGCTGCGACTACTTTGATCCCATGAATGTCTGTGGTGATGGATATCTCGCTGGGATTGGGAGCAGCACCGGATCAGCTTCAAGCCTAGCAGCATACCCGTGGCTTGATACCACTTTGGGTACAGATGGTAAGCTAGAACATTCTGCATTGTTGAGTACTCTGCTGGAGGCCAAGTAAGTTGATGAACAAGCTGGTGGGAGCATTCGAGACCCTGCGATCGCTCACGGCGTGTTCGCTTTCCGCCCTTCACATGACGGGAGGCCAACTCCAGACTCCAGACGTGGTTCTTCCTGGCGGGTAAGCCTTTATGTTCATGTCCAAAAGACACGAGATTGATGAGACGGCTAGGATATTTCACACTCCCGGTTTCCTAGGAAGAGATATCCGCAAAATGCATGAGTTCGGTCGTCATTGGCCCCAAAACTCCTCCAAAGCTGAGGTGAGCACTACGAACGCCATTGATGTCGCCTGGACTGACGACGCTGCAGGCTCTGAGGCCGAAACGTGTGTTGTTCCCACGGGAGTACTGATCCGACCATTCCGGTGTCCAACCGATTGCTGAGGACTTGGTGTTGTCCCTCACTGAATGGTTTGGAGCAGACAAAGTCGACATCTCCATGGAAGAGACTTGGAAAGCTACGAAGCCCCCTAGCGCTGAAAAGGGCTTCTTCGGCACATTCAATGAGGTGAGTTGATAGAATCCTAGTGCACTCTTGATGCTCTTGGAGTAGTTCATCGGCTGAGTGAACTGTCCAGACTTTTATGACCTTGATGTAACGCGAGTTCTGGACCTACCTTGCAAATTCCAGGTCGGAATACCAGGAAAAATTCAAGGCGGATCCTTACATGTGCAAAGTCACACAGTACCTATGGTAAGATCAGGTTTCACAATCTCGTGCCATACGCGCTGACGGTCCTGTCTCAGGGATAAAGGCAAGTTGATAAGCCAAGATCGTTGGCAGGAGGCTGTGGATGAAGTATTGCTCCACAACACTTAGTTTCTTGAACATTTGCTCAACGACGAGAAGACCATTATGATTGTCCCTCGATACAAATTGGACTACCGGGATGAATACTTGCCGTAAGAGATGTGAATGACTACCAGTGTAGTAACCTTGGCTAACTAAAACTTTAGCGTGCCCGAGAATCGAGGCTTTGAGGGCTTCGACTCCAATCTTCACGCTTCGTTAACAGGTGTGACAAACCAGATTGTGCCCGGTAAGAGTCGACCGTAAAATGACCAATGATAATTCGAAGCATTCTAATAGAGCAACACAGTCAGTCAATGTGAATCTCAGTCTCAAGTTTCCGGGCGAAAAGAATACTTTCCCGTTTCTCTCTCCGTCATGGGACCCAAAGGTTAGTAAAACCCTTCCTTATCCCATCACAGCGCAGTGGAAGAAGTTCTCACGGAGACATTGAAGGGATTAATGTTGGGCTGTTGAGCCTCGTTCATGACTATCTAGCCGACAAAGGACTCCCCAGTTCTGTAATGACCGGCAGTACCGCGTTTTAACGTTCTCTGACATAGGCAGCGGAAGATTGATCTTGGTACGGACTTTTCCCTGACAACATAACTCATCTCAAGTAACGATTTACCGACAACGGCTGGTCCACCTATCATGGCGCAAAGAAGTAATTGAGTTGATGTAGTTGGGGCAGGAATCATTCTGACCCAAAGTCTGAACCGGATTTGCCATGCAGATACAGTTCTATTCAGACAAAGCATCTGGCCCACCGGGTGGGTTTTTGAGTCGGCAGAACACGGAAAGCGAGACGCGAGGGCACTGCTGCTACTGTCTTCTAGACTTTCAATATAGAACTTCTCAGTCATAATGGGCTATTGACTTCGATATGAAACTATGGGTGAGTAAGCGAAGGCGAAGTTGCAAAAGCAAGCTTTCCGTCCGATACTCAAAATGGACCATCCTAGTTGAGATCGGAGACAAAACCGGACGAAGAGATAAACTTTGAGTGGTCTGTGTTGTGTCCAACTCACTGATCAACTCTTGCAATTCCTCAGATGACAACTAAACGAAACCGCGAACCTGTGCCTTGACGAGAGCACAACTTGAGCCTCACTCTGAGCCAGTAGCCACACCTCAACCGCAAGTCGTTTATGACAATGGCCGGTTGGCCCAATGGCAAGGCGTCTGACTACGATTTAATATGTTATAAGGAGATTCTGGGTTCGACCCCCAGGCTGGTCAATTTCATTTTTTGAGCGTGGTGGAAATGGCCCCAAAATACGGCCGAGATGCCGCTTAGGGCATGACTTTTGAAGATTCCAGGGAATACCCCACAAAACCGTTGGCAATAGGGTGGGCCGAAGCACGGTTCGTTGGTTGTTCTCTGGGCGAAAAGCTTGCGTTCACCGCATCGTCACCGGCTAACCGGTGGAAGTTGCCGCTTGCGTGGACTAGGTGGTATCACCGTGGTAGCGATGATCCGACGCGTGAGCAGCTTGACGCGGTTCAGGGCCAGTCATACGCGTTCGAGGACCTAGATGGTATTAGTACCTAGATGATGGTGATACTGAACCATTGAGTTTACGTCAATTGTCAATAGGCAATCGAGCGCGAGAACGAGCGGATGCCATCATGTTTAAGATCTGGGGAATGGCGGCTTAGAGTCAGGGGATGCTCGTATCTCGTCGGCACCACCGCTCCGTCGGCGACCCGTGGGCGCCGGCAACGCCGTGGGACCCCGGTCGGCACTCTCGGCTTGTGGGAGAGCTCTTGGCTTAGAGGCTCAGTTGTTCAGGGCTCGTCGTTCGCCTGGACATTCTCCTGTTAGTTCTCTAGGGTGGGCTTGACGTCCCGGGATGACGCCAAGGGGCCTCTCGCGGCTTCGGCAAGTCTAATCACTCCAGGCCTGATACATCATATAAGGCAGGGCAAAGCCAACAATTTTGATAACTACAAGCCGTTCACAATCGCATTGTGAAGTAGGCACAACGGCGCACTACAGGCGCACTGCAATCTACGCAAGACGATCAGCAACCAACGCATAAAGTAAAATCAAACTCTAATAACCGGCAAGTGGAACCACTCACAGCTCTGCCCCTGGCCAGCAACCAATCTCCCCTTGGTGCCTGACTCGTACCTCAACCAGGGTGAAGGTTTCAACCGGGACTCGGGTCTCATGCTGCCCCACACAATATCGAGTTCCCCTGGCTAAAAGACCGCGGACGAGTGATCACGACAGACGTCAACGGTGCTGCGGACGAGCCAGGTTGGTCCCTCTGACCACTGGGTCAAAAGTGCCCCTAATCCCGCAGTGGCCGAGCCTCCGGGTCCTGTCTCCTTTGGGCCCCGAGGAGGAGAACTGGAGTTCAAGGATCTTTATCAATACCAAGGTCCAAGTGAACCGTGCCATCTCCAGCGACGGGCTGTCGTTCGAACTTGTCCCCTTTCAAGTAGTGTTGTCCCCCATCCCCTCCTCCACAGTTACCTAAAAATCTTCCTCATCCCAAAGTCGACCGCTTTTGAACCCCGATATCCCGCCCGGTGAACGCATTGAACGTGTTGGACATATCGAAAAGGAAACCAATGTTGAAAACGGATTCGGCTAAGGCGCTGCCCTGCTAGAGAAAACAAACAAGAAAAACAAACACGATTTCCGACGCGATCGTACGTCGACCGATCACGGGGCGAAGATGTCTCCGAGACATCGAAATCGAATCGTCCCAACTTCTTCGACGATACTCATATCATATCTCGCGTCGATAACTCATGCCACATTCACCAATGATTTCTCAGCGTACCCAGCAGCAGCGAGATCATGTCTTGACTCAGCCGCTGCAGCGTCCGGGTGTACCGGTGACACGGTGACGGAGATGAACACATGTCTGTGCGGGAATGGCGGAAACTTTGTGCTGGCGACGTCAAAATGCGTGAAAAAAGAGGCAAAAGACAAGCTTGACGATGTCTACGAGATGCTTCTGACCTCCTGCACGGATTCAAAAACGCCATTGGGCATTTCGCAGGCACAATTCCTAGACCCCGAAGACGACGACGAAACCAAGTCAACAGCCTCTTCTTCATCTACTTCTCAGAGCAGCACAACACTATATACCTCCACGACCGCACCGCCGACCGAAATACCAGCATCTTCAACAACATCGACAACGACATCTCTCACGACGTACAAGAGCGTTGCGCCAGGAGGAGTCACAGTCACGGTGACGAGGGGAGTTGAGACAGTATCGACTGGGGCGGCGAGTGGAAAGCAAGGAAGCAACGCCGAGGGGGACCAAGCTACCACCGGCGATGAGGGACCTAGCCACACTGCTCTTGCGGCAGGACTTGCAGGAGGACTAGCAATTCTATTGGGCGTGTTGGCATTCTTCTGCTACAGGCGGCGGAAGCAACGCAAGGAGAGAAAGGGGCAGGTCGGAACCGGTGGAAAATTCGCAGCCTTATCTAGTGCGACAAGTCTCACCACGATGTCGGCCTCACCACCGCAAGGGCAGGCAACGACGGCATATCACGGCGTGAACGACAGACGACCTGATACGGCAAACACGATGAACATGGCAGTGGGCACTCCAGGATGGAACCGTCAGCAACAAGGGCCACAAAGTCCCCAGCATTGGCAGAACAACAACTCTCCTGGGCACTACGGACAACAAGCAGGAACCTGGCCGTCACCAGTCGCCAACGGAGATGGGGCGACGGGAACGTGGGGAGTTTCGCCCGTCTCTCAGTACCGTCCGAACTCATCCAGGGGTCCCGAACCGTCACCACATGCTGGAACCTGGAACGCGCATGCCGCTGAGATGGTAGCCGCTCCAGTTCCCGCACCTCACCCTTCACATCCCTCAAATAATACATATTCTCCCGTCTTTGAATTGCCGGGAGATCAAATACAAGCCGTAGAGGCAGACTCGACACCAGTCGGCCAGGCTCAGCCGGTGGTGCAACCGCCTTCGCGTTCAATACAATCGACGCCGGCTCAAATGCAAGCACAACCAGCGCAACCAGCACCAGCTCATCACGGAATGCCGAGGCAGATCGACGACGCACTTCAAATATCGCGAGTAGAATTACCGCCGCCTCGGTACTCAGGCCCATCATCACCGGATTGGGTCAGCGAGGATAAGAAGTTTGGCTAGATCAAACTTGGAGGGGCCTTTTGGCCCAGATAGCTCTTCAGCATAATGATATTTTATAAATCTTGTAATACTACCCACATGTAGACTTCAGGGCACCACTGCCGCCATGACGCATGAGCCTCCAAATTTCACATAAGATCAGCAATCAGCCTATAAGATGATGTGATGTCATGACCATGCCTTTATGGCGCGACAAGGGTTCAAGAAGTACCACAGTCTGGAGTGAAGAAGACGCATAAGATAACTGACCCAAGTCATCGACTCCGTTACAGCCAAAGTGCAAAAAGAAAGACTGAGCAAAAGCAACTGTCCCTGGCAAGGCTCGAACTTGCGACCTTTGGATGTTTCAAGCTTCAAGCCTAGTCATACCACTTAGGTAATGATATGAGACCAACGCTCTTCCGACTGAGTCACAGACGATAATTGGTGAATCCACTGATCGTACGATCTCATGACAGATTTGCTAACCGGAAATCTGTCGCGGTCCGCGGGTTCATCAGTTGGGTTGAGATCCTGTTAGTTGGTCGAAGTTGAGCAACAAACTTTGGTTTTCTAGCTGGGTCTCACGGAAAAGCCTAGTCTTAAGCTAGTAGGACCAAGGTAGCCAGCCCTACGGATACAAAAGTCGTTAGCTTTGTCACTCACGTCACACGTGTTTTCCACATTCGATGCTCCTCCGTCCAATTGTTTTCCAGGCTTTATCCATTAGAATCACTGAAGCCACGTTTGGTTGAAAGGCAGAACGAGTTGACTGCTTCCTGTAACGAATTCGATCGAAGAGGCCTCTTGTCAACCTTACCAAGCCACAGCATGCGGGTGTCGTGTTCCGAACGCGCGTCTCAACACCGCTAGCCCGTTCTCTGGCCCTGATTGGGTCGGCCGAATCCTGCGGCTGAGCTACCAAACTTGCCAGAGTGCGGCGCAGGATTCCTGCCTAGCAAGATGGCTGAGTATCCAACCAAGACGTGGCATTTGACTGTTCGTAGCATCATCCCACCATTTGACTGATTATCGGCGGGGCCAGGCAACCCCCTGCCTCTAGATTTAACCATAAATCACCCCCCCAACGACCATGACCAGCGCCAAGAGCAATAGCAGATTGTAGGCGTGATTAACACTCCATCGAAACTCCGTCTTCAGTTGAAGATAATACATCGAGCTTGATAATGGCGGGATTCTCCTCCGCTGCGGTAACCACGAGTTGTGATGACATCACTCACCGAATTGTTTCCACGTCCGCTGAGCTCGACAGTCTGTTGAAGGCCATCGATCCTGGGAGCACAGCAGCGCAACACTTGATTTCGGTTTCGGCAAAACTCGATCAGTTTAGAGACACGACTGAGCAGCTCAGAAGGTCGCTCAATGACTCCTCAGCCATATCGCCCGGTCTGCGAAATGCTCTGGCTATCGCTATTCAGCCTTGCGCAGATGCCGCGGCAGTCTTAGACAAGCAGATACATAGACTCGACCCAGCAAACGTGACGAGCCTCAACTCCGATGTGATTCTGCAGTACGAGACCTATCATTTGACGAATACTCGCTTGTTCGCACAATTTGTCTCCGTAGCGCATATGTAAGTTTTTAGGATATCTACGCTCCTTATGGCTAGGTACGTGGTACTGATTCATTCACCTAGGTCAACTGTCGCTCAGCAGGATGCAAGACTCTCGTCTCCTGACGGGCATGGAATGTTAGAATCGGCAGTAGAGGCGTCTCAAATTGTTCTAACCCGTAGTGACATTCTGGGACCCTCAGACGAAGCTGGCCAATCTGCCATAGATATCGCAGCCTTCGCCGAAGAATTTGGGGACGTTCAAGCCGAGGAGCCACCCCCAGACTACACGTCTGGTAAAGCCAACAAGGGGAAAAGCAAGGCATCCGGCCAATTCTTCTCCTCAATCTCAAGCTCTTTCAAAGCGATGACCGCTGGCCTACGCGCCAAACCAGAACCCATGGTCATCGCCATGTGCCAGGCCGCCAAAAGCGGCGACGTGGGACACCTCAAAGGCTTCGTCTCGGAAGGAGTCAATGTTAACGGCCAGAACGAAGAAGGATACACGCCGCTCATTTGTGCCATCAGAGCCAATCAGAGACCAGCTGTCGAATTTCTCGTCAAAAATGGAGCTGATCGATCAACCAAAGACTCTTGCAGTGGCAAGAAGAAGCCCCCATTATTTCATGCTGCCGAATGCGGCTTTGTGCCAATCGCAGAATATCTCATCAATCATGGTTTCGAGATGAAAGAGCGTTCGTGGTCTGGACAGCCGTACTTCATCGAGGTGGCAAACAGCGGCCAGCTGGATATCATCAGACTCTTCTTGCGACGAGGCTGCGACGCCAACACAGCTGCTATTAGTGGCCGGACCATCTTTATTCATGCCATACTCAGCGGTAGCCTCCCACACATAAAGCTCCTGAAAGAATATGGTGCCGACGTCAATGCTAGAGATATCAGCGGGCAGCCTGCACTACATATGGCTTTAGGCCAGAACCGGATGGACATTGTCACGTTCTTACTAGAGCATGGCGCGGACCCAAACACCATGGACCTCACAGGCAGTACGATGATTATTTCCGCCCTTCACAAAAAGAAGTATGATCTAGTCAAGACTTTGCTATCCCGAGGCGCCGATCCGAATGCCACAGGGTTGATGGGCAAAGGTATATTATGGACCTTGCTGCAAAACAAAGATATGGAGGAAGGAATCAAGATTGAGCTCATCAAATCGCTTCTGGCACGAGGGGCCAACCCAAATCAAGTCGATAATTGGGGAGAATCCATTATGAGCATGGTTATCACTCTCGGCAACACCGATCTTCTGCGCATGTTCCTTGCTCACGGCGGCAATCCAAACAAGAAAGTCAAGGATACAACATTTCTACTCTACGCCATTGATCAGAATAGACAAGAGGACGTAAAAGTTCTTCTCCTACACGGAGCGAACCCGAACGAAGCAGATACCAAGGGCAGAACCCCCTTGCTCGAAGCGCTTCAGTCAGAAAACCACGCAATTCTACAAGCAGTCCTTGCCCACGGCGCAGATGTCAACAAGATGGGTCAGATCAAGCCGTTGGCGTTGGCAAGATTACTTCAGAACCCGGAGACCATCAAGTCGTTGACGGACCGCGGTGCTCAAGCCCCAGAGCGGCCGGCGGCGGCGAGAGCACCGCCAACGCCTGTCAGTCCGAGGCGGCCAGTTTCGTCGTCTACTACCCAGATTCGACCAGTTGAAAGTGAAACGGATATGCCACCGCCCTACGTTGAGACCGGTGGTTTGGAGGAAGCTGGGGCGTCAAGCCCACCAAGCAGCGCCAGGAGACTTGTACAAGCCGGCTCTCTCAGCTTGCAAAAATCAACGTAAATGCCAGGAATTATGTCTCAAGTCAATAGAGAGTGGGAGTTTCGGGAGGTGCTCGAGGCCTGAATGACATTGTTGGACGGGAAGGGTAATGCGTATGGATGGCCATACTTCTTAATCACAATGTAATAATAACAGATGCTGAGTATCGCATGTATCAAATGCTGCTACGAAGTAATCAATCTTGGTCTCGAACCAGTATTTCTGAATCAGAACGCACGACTGAAATATGGTTGAGGATTTTGTTCTGAACTCTGCTTGACCAATTCAATGCTCATTGCCAAATCAGATAACGATTCGGTTTAGAGCCCAACTATCTTGAGTGCACGGTGACCAACCTCAACCTTTGATAGCAGTCTTGATAATCTGCTCTAGCCCCTCTCTGCCTATCGGTTCAATGCCGAGCAGTTTGTTGTCAGTCACAGGGAAATAACCAGCCTCTGTGCCAATGAAAGCACGGTTAATGAACATTTCAACCACTTCTTCACTGTGGTCCCCCTTGCTCCATCTCTCGTGAGCGATCTTCTCTAAGTCCTCAGTTCTCGAATGCTTGACTTCCCATTCCCCTGTTGGATCAATGCTTTTGGAAATCTCAACTATCTCATTTTGTGTCGTCTCAACACTGCTAATCTTTACCGGACGGTTTGCTGTCTCCTCGAGATGAGTGAGGATGCCAATGACGGCTTGTCCGATATGCGGCATGGTCGTTACACAGAATTTAACATTACCGCCATCCTTGATATGAGCTTTTATTACATAATAGGGATAGTAACCGCATCTTACGAAGTACCCGTTACGTACTGAATTACGTATCTATCTTAGATATCGTATATATAGACCTTTTTTTTTTATCTATTTTTATTTTAATATATTAAGCTATTTTTATTATACTCCGTATGCTTATTATTATATATTATAATTTATAATAATTATAAACTTAGCTCTTAATTAAGACTTTATATTATAATAACGTACTTATTAATACGATTTTTATAATCTTTTTAAGATAATAAATATACTTATACTAATTTTAGCCTAAGCTAAATTAACTAACTACGATAGTTAGATTAAATAGTTTAACATACTCCGTATTATAAATAAGGGCGTTAGGGTTTAAAAATACGTTAATTTAAATACTTTAAATTCTAATATACTCCTTAACCTTTTTATAGTACTTATTTTACTTTTTAAATTTAGATAATTAGTTATAACTTATAATAAAAAAGAATTATAAGCTTATTAAATACGTTATAAAGCGTTTAAAAATAACTAAAAAAACTCAAAAATCTTATATTAATAGTTTTTAAATATAACTCTTAGTATAACCCCTTTAACTTTTTTAAATATAAATAACTTATAAAACTAAGCTAGGTTTTTTTTTATAAAACTAACTAAGCTACTTACTTTATATAAATAAATCTATCTTTATACTATACTTATAAAAAAGATTTATATATTTAAAAATATTTAAAAATAATAAGAGATCGAAGCTAAATACGAATAATTTAAAGTTTAAAAACGTAATATTATTAATATATATATTAAACTCCTTACTTAGTAATTAGTAAAATTAGTTAATACTACTTTTTATAAATATATATTTTAAAAAACTATTAAGGACGGTATTAAGTTTAATATATAATAAATTGTTAAATATTTAAAATAAGAATTTACGCCCTCTAAAGTAGTAGTTAGGAATATAGTTTAAGAGGAATATTAATAAGTTTTTAATAAAGCGAGGACTAAAATTAACCCCTAATACTAATATAAGGAGTAATAGTCTACTTATTTTTAAACTAAAACGTATAATATTTTAAAAATTAATAAAAAAATTACTATACTTAATTTTTTAATTATAGTTAAGTCTAGGCTTAACCCTATATAGGGCTAATATATATATAAGACTTTTAGTAAATTAATAGCTTTTAGAACGTATACTAAGACCTTTAAAGAGATTATATATATATTTAGCTTAGTAACTTAGGACGTATATACTAAATAGTTTTTAAGTTAAAGAGGGGCTTATTTTACTTTTACTAAACGCTCTAACTTAGTTAATAACGTAAATAATAAGGGTAACGTTACGTATTTTTATAATTACGTATATTTATAGTACTTTTTAGTATATTAAAAGTTAAAATAAGTATTTATAAACTAAAATATTAATAAGTTATTAATATGAATATTAAAAAGCTATATAAAAGAAGTCCTTGTTATTATTAAATTAAATAAGTAGAAATTATTTTATAATAAGCTTAAAAAAGCTAGTTAGTTAAAAAACGATAGAACTTTTAAAAAACCGGGGTTTTTAAAAAGATTTTTTAATTAACTTATAGTAAGCTTATTAATAGACTAAGACGAGGGCTACGTAATTATTATATTTATAAAGAGTTAGGATTTAAAAATAAACGTAATTTTTAATACCCTTATAAATAGTACTTATTCCCTTTTTTAAAGTATAATAATAAATAGTTATAAAATAATATATTTAGTTAATAATAAGAGCTTATTTAAACTTAAGAGTTACGTACTATTAAGCGATAATAACTACGTTAAATTAAGAACTATTATATTACTTATTATTATATATAATACTCGTATTATAAAGGGCGTTTTAAACGGACTTAAGGAGAAGGGAACTTATAATTTAAAGCTCTAAAACGTTACTTATATTAAGGGATTTTATATTAATATAGTTTTAAAAACTTTACTAAATAGAAGCGTATTTTAGTACTATAATCTAGATTATATTTTATAATAGGGAACGCTTTATAAGAGTATTATTAAAAAGTAGCTTATTTAAAAAAATAATCTAATCTTTTTTAAATATAAGCTCTTCTAATCCTATCCTTTTTTTATAAACTTTAAGTATATTTTATAGAGCTTAGTTAGTATTATATTACTAATTAGTTATAGAAAATTCTATTATTTATATTAATATATTTATAAGAGGTCTAATAACGCGCTCCTTTAGTATTTTAAAATAGGTTATCTCAGACTTAATACTTTTCGTTAATTACTATATAAAACTCGAGGTATACGTATTAAACCTCTATTATAGGTTAAGTATAAAGTATATATATTATTTAATACTAAGATAGTAGTTTTAAAAGGACTATTTTTAAAAAAAGCCTTATAGCTATAGTATTATATATACTAAGATCTTTTTTATTTTAAACTATTTCTTAGTAAATAATAATATATATTTATAGTTTCTAACGAATATAGTAAGTAATTTAGGGGGTTCTTTTTAAAAATTAAAATAAAAAAGGAAGTATTTTTTATATTATAAAGCCTCGAAATAGCGATTTATTATTAAAAAAGAACTTTAATTTATTTTTTTAGAAATAATAATAAGACTACTTTCTTAATTATAAACGTTAAATACGTATATAAAACGTAGTATAATAAGCTAAGAATCGGAATAGAACTTCTATTTTTATATATAAAAGAACCCGTAAGTAATATAAAAAGAGTAAGTTAACTCGTAATTATTAAAGCTCGTAAAATACGCCTTTTTATAAACCTCTTTATAAATTTATAAAATAAGATAGTATTAATAATAATTTTTATTTATAATATTACCCTATAGGAGGTTAATAAAGGAGATTTATTTATTATAATAGAAATTAATTAATAGAAGCGGTATTAATATTAGTAATAAACGGGTTATTAAGTGCGGGATTTTAAATTAGTAACCCCGTACTTTAGTAGTTTCTATATATATAGTTATTAAATATACCCTTTTTATAAGGATCGTAAGAGGGGTATATATTAAAAAGAGTTTAAAATACTTCTTTGCGGGTATATAAAATACTTAGTTAGATATATATTAAAAACGTATAACTTATATAGGGTCTAAGTACTTATATTTAAATAAGTATTTATTATAAAGAATATTAAGTTTAATAAAGAAGTTTTTTATAATCTTATATACGAGGAATAAGCTATTATAGGTGAATAAGTAAATTTAATAATTTAAAAAATATAAGAACTTTTTAATATTAATAATAAGTTAGTTTAAGTACTTAGGGAAGTAGATCTAGACTTTGGAAATATTAATATTTAAAATAATTCTATAGTTAAGAATAGTATTATTATTAGATTTTTAACTATTTAAGATATTAAGTAACTAATAGATATACTTTAGGGTATAGTTAATAAGGCTAACGAGGCTAATATAGTCTTATTATTATTATTAATCCCTAAAATAACCCCTTTATACGAGCTTAGGAGTAGGGGTAAAGAAGGGGATATAATAACCGGGTTATAAATAGCTTTGTGTAGTTTATAATCCTTTTTATAAGCGCTTATATATATTATAAAAGTTCTTAAGCTTTTAATTCTTAATAGCTCTTAATAAAATATTAAAATATATAGTAAATAAAGTACTAATTATAAAAAAGTAATTCTTAATATTAAAATCGATATTAATAAAGAACCCTTATAATAAACCTCTATTATTATATAAAAATAAAGCTTATAAAAACTACTTTATTAAATACTAAGTAAAGCTCTGTTAGGTCCTAAACGTTTAAACTAGGCCCGTAGACCTCTATAACGCTTTAATAATAGTATTTTTATAACGCTTTTATATTTAAATATAGAAAATAGTAATTATTATAACCGTTACTAGGACTACTTTTTTTCTATTTTTATATTTAATTAATAAAAAGCTATAAAAGAAAGTAATATAGGATATATAATACTTTATTAAGTAATAAAAGGAGTAGTTTATAGGACCTATTTAGAGCGCTTTAAAAGAGTTTAGAAATTATAACTTATTAAAATTAATTTCTAAAGCTTATTAAAAAAGTTTAGTAATATTAAATATTTTTTATAGTAACTATAAAAGCTACTTAGGGATACTATAAACGTAAAAATAAAAAAGCTAAGGGATATTAATATATAAGAAGAAGTCGACCGTAATTTTAAATAAGGGATCCTATTTTTATTAAAATAGGTATATACTTATAAGTATAACGCTAATAACGAGGTTTGCGAGGTAAAAGTATATATATATATAAGGGGGGATATATAACTACTTAACCCCTTATAAAATACGTACGCTTCGACGCTTATTATAAAGGCCTTTAGGCTTATAATAGTAATAGCTACCTAATTCGACCTTAAGGCTAACTAGTATAATATTATTAACGTATTCCTTAACGCGCTTTTTAAAAATAAAAAACTAGTAATTATTAAACTTTTAAAAAGATATAAGGTTATTAATAAAATAAATAAGCTCTAATGCGTTCTATATAACTTCTAAGACTTACTAATTCTTTAGTTCTAAACTTTTACTTCTATACTTTATAATATAAATATAATATATAGTTACGAGGAGATCTATATTTACTAAACCGTAAATAAAAAAGTAATATTAGTATTTTACGTTAACGATTTTATAATTCTATATTATTAAAACGATTAAAAAGTAGCTTAGGGGATCGTTAATAATATAAAAAAATATATTAATTTTAAAAAGAATAGACTAATTAATTACTTTTTTAGAGTACGGATTTTATAAAATCGTATTATTTATAAGGTTTATTTTATTTATAATGTATATATTAAGCGAGTTATTAAGCGCTTCGATTTTATAAATTTATTATATTTAGCTACCCCTCTTCTTTAAAACGAGTTTAAACTAAACGAGGGGTAAGTAATAAAAAAGGAAATAAAGAGTTACTAAGAGAAAGTTAGAAATATACTTTATATAGTTATAATAATTAGACTAGATATCGCTTTTACTTATTTATAATTATTATAGTTCTTAACTAACCTAAGTATAACTTATATTAAAATAATTAATTATTATATTTAATATTTTTATATAATAAAATATTTTACGCTCTATTACGGTAATATACTAAGTACGTAATTATTATTTTTAACTAGAAATACTAGCTTTATAAATAATAAGGTAATACGACGATTATTTTAGGGATATATAATATTTCTTTTTAGTAGCCTAATTTAATAAAAATTAGTATACTAAGTAATAGTTACGATATTAATTACCGAAACTAAGCTTCTTTGTTTTAAGGAAATTATAAAAGAGATTATAGTTCTAAAGTACTTTTTTAAAAATATTACCCTTAACTTAAGAGAAGTATAGTTAGTTAACTACGATAATTAGTAAATAATTTAACTTATTATAGGGGAAGGGGAAAGAATAGTTACTTAACTTTACTATATTAATATATAGAATATATAGCTAAAATAAGAGTATATTAGAGGTAGCTTCGAGGTTATTTATATATTAATAAAAAATATATTAGTAAATAGACTTATTAAAAACCTTTTACGAACTAAGTTTAAATATTTTTATATACTTCTTAACTTTTATGATACATAAGAAATTATTATAAATAGTTAAAATAGTTAAAAATAATTAATTTAAACTACGCTTAAAAAAAGCTTAATACTTAAAAATAAATAATAAATAGAACTTAGAGTGCGGCCTAGAGGCTTAAAATAAATAAAATAAAACTTTTTTTAGCCTAAAGGCCTAAACTTTTAAAATAACCTTATTTTATAAAGTATATATATATAAAAATAAGACTCGGGCTTATACTTACTATTTAAACTCTTAGTTTATAAAGTATATGATTATTAAAATTATAGTATTATTAATAAAAAAAGTAAATATACGTATTAAGAACTATACTTTACGTACTTTGAAGTTTACGAAGTTAAGAATAATAGGAGTAATAGGGGGTATAAGAAATAGAACGACCGTTAAGTTAATAATTTAAAATATAAGAGCGAGTAGTATAATAAGAGGCTAGTTATAAATAATTATAATAAGTATAATTAATAATATAAGTATATTTAAAAAAGAGGGTAGGGGGGGTGCGGGGAGGAAGTTCTTTATATAAAACTTAATATAGTTCTTATATATTTTTTTATTATTTTTTATATAGCAAATAATAATACGGAGCTTATTAATTTCTTATTAAAACTATAATTAGGAGTGCGCTTTTTAATAATAAAAAAGGATAATATATTTATAATAAAGGGAGCGTTATTTATAATAGCCTTAGTAAGAGCCTAGGCTATTAACTATATAATAACCGGTATATTAATATACTTCTTAACTAAATAGCTATTAAAATAGTACGTATACTAGTTATTACTTTTTATAAAATAATAATTATTATCCTTAGGGTTAGTATACTAGAGGGCTATTTAAAAATAAGGTATATATTATACTAACCGTTTTTTAAAAACTACTCCTTTAAGTTTTTTAGGAACTAAGTATATATTAAATAGGTTTAAAATAGTAAAGAGAACTATACTTATTATAGGGGGTACTTTAACTTCTTAATATTCTCTTTTATTTTTTATTACCCTTTTAAAAAGAGCTAGCTTTACGTTTTTTAAATTCTAAAATATTATTAAAAACGAACTCCTAAGATAATAATATATAATATACCCTTTTTAAAAAGTTTAATATTTAAAATATTCTTAACCTTATTTTTAAACTCTGAGGGAGGGATAAATAAAAGCTTTTTAGAGCTCTTATTATTACTATTTATTTTATTATTACCCTTATTATGATTATTAATAAGAGCCTCGAACTTAATAAAGTTCTCGGTATTTTTATTAATAGCTTTAATATCTTTTTAACTAAGGAGGGAGAGCTTAGTAACTAGGCCTTAGTAAATAAATAAGAAGTTATAGGGGGGGGTAATAACTTAAAGGGGCTCGTTAATATTATTACTTATTTAAACTCTTAATAAACTATATAATATATATATAAAAAGTATTATAAAAATTATATAAAACTTATTATTATTTTTAGATATATTAAATATTTATATTTAAAATAAAATTAATAAACGATTTAATAATATAGGCGCGCGTGCGTAGTAAACGGGGGTATTTATAATAACTATAAAAAGGTTAAAAAAAAAAAGAAAAATAATAACTAAGTAACGCTATAAGAATTTAAATATACGTAAAGTAGCTAAGTAGCCTCGCCTTTAATAATTTATATACTAAAAATAATAAAATACGCACTATTTTAAATTAGGATTCTATTTACTTTAAATAAAGGGATATATTTATAATAAACACGGTTTAAAAAATATATATCCCTTATACTTATTTTTTTTATTTATATTTAATTAAATCGGGCCTTTATAAGGGTATTTAGAGGTTCTATTTTAGGTATAATAGCTCCCTAGTAATAGTAATTAGGGGGTATATTACGTAATAAGGATAGTAATTATATTTTATAAAGTGCCCGTTACGTATTAAATTACGTATTTATTTTAGATATCGTGTATATAGACCTTTTCCTTTTGTCTATTTCTACTTTAATATATTAAGCCACTTTTATTACACTCCGTATGCCTATTGCTATGTGCTATAACTCGTGATAGCTTTCTTGCCCTTGACATCCACAAGAAAGTCAAGTGCGTACCCAGGCGCCAAGAAGGAGACATTCATGATGATGGTGTACGAGAATGATGGCCTTGCAGCTACCTTTTCATCGAGGTACTTGCGAATTGCAATCTTGGGCTGGTAGATGGGTATGACGGCTAGCTTGGGGTTCATGGTGTCATTACCGTACTCGGATGGAATCATTCTTCGTATGCCGGCGTTGAAAGCTGCATCGACAACGTTCCTCTGAATATGGATTACGTCGAATGCCAAGGCTGAAACAAGAGCGTCTTGTCCTCTGAGCGCAGCTTCGAGACTGGGGACTGACTCGTAGTCGACTTTCTTCACTGTAACGCCAGCAGGGAATTCGTGGCGAGACCCCTCACGAGTGAGAACAGTGAGCTCAAATAATTTCGACCTCTGTAGGACATCAAGAAGAACACGTCCTAAGAAACCGTTCGCCTGCAACCCTCGTCAGTTTGTGACACCTAGAGCATTTATTCGCTCGAGGGGGGATAATTGACTTACACCTGCAAGAGCAACATGCTTGATTGGAGTTGACATAGTGATAGATCGTCTGTGCGAGGAACACCCAAAGCGGTGGTGAAAGAGACTTTGATCCTTGAAATGTTGCGTTCAGCTAGTCGTGGGATAAACCCGTAAAGACCGGAGGCTTATAAAACTATGAAGATTAGGGGACTAGTTCAAAGAAGCATGACTGCCATATTTAACAACAAACGGCTATGACGGCTTCGCTTTCTCGACTTTATTTTTGATTGACACACATGTTCAGACCCGACGTCTCGGCCTGCATCACGCCGGGATCATCACACAACCCGTGTAAGTCCACACTTTAGAGTTCACCGGGACCGCCTGTCGGACAGACGGGTCACCGGCGACGGGTTTCTGCCCGTTTGGCATACCGCAATCAGCGGAGCTCTCGAAGCAAGGCCAAGAAAGCGACGATCTGAAGTCTCAGGAGCGGGATTGACCCGGTGAAAAACGCGCGCTCTGCAGGCGGATTGGAGGACTATCGTATGACTGTACCAGGCAACGAAGCATCGTACCAAATAAATCACAACTGATGACCCTGGTGTCATCCCAGCTCGACCCAGCTTGGATGTCACGAAACTAGGACGAGGTCAGATTGAATAGCAAGACCCAAGGCTTCAAGTACCTCCTTGTTAGAGCTAGGTTGTTGACACGTCAGGTAAGCACTGAGCACCGAGACCGAAGGTGTGGGCATAGACGTGCAACGATCAAGCAATTGAGAGGACGGAAGTACTTGCCGTTGTAGTGGAGGATATACGAGCCGGATGATGTCCATCTTCAAATAGCAGAATTAATGTGTCTAAGTCCATTGTTTGGGACAAGACGACGGATGAGTCTTGGGTATAAAAGTCCTCGTACCCTTCACCTGACGCCCCAGTGGTGCAGAGGTGCTGGTCGAGACAAATTTAAATCAAGAGTCTTGACAGGCACAAGCACATACCATCATATCATCCTGAAGCCACCTCTCATAATTATGTTGACCCCCGTTTTGACGCTGGTTGCGTCTGTTGCAACTGTTTTCTACTCCCTTTACATTATTGTTTCTACACACCTTCTCCGTCACCGCATGAAGAGAGAATATGGCACACTTCCGCCCAAAAAGCTACCTCAAAAAGATCCCGTCTTCGGAACTGATGTGGTACTTCAAAATCTGGACGCTGCAAAGAAATTCGGCTTCCTTGCTCTCCTGAAGAAACGCCATGCCGAGCAGGGCCAGACTTTCACCACGAACACATACCTTCGGACTACCATCAACACTTGCGACCCAAAGTTAATCCAGACTGTGCTATCTAATCAGTTTGAAGACTTTGGAATGGGCCCTTTGAGAAGAAAGAGTGCATCACCTCTCCTTGGCCGAGGCATTTTCACAACCGACAACGAGACCTGGGCCCATCAGAGGGCACTCATCAGACCAAGCTTCATCCGAGCTCAGGTGACAGATTTTAGCATCTTCGAAACACACGTCAATCAGCTTATACAGCTAATCGCCCGGGAGAATTACACCATAGACCTGCAACAGTTATTTTTCCGCATGGTACGTCAATTTTACCGCAACGGCCACTCTTGTCTCTGACTTTTGGATTGCTAACATTTATACATGTAGGTTCTTGACTCAAACAGCGAATACCTTTTTGGAGAATCGGTTGGTTTGATGTCAGACTACGCTTCCGACTCTGCCCATACTTTCCACCATGCTCTCGATTACGCCCAGCAAGGAACAATTCTTCGACTTCGCCTCGGTAATTTGATGTTCGCGCACAGAGACGCCAAGTTCAGGGACTCATGTGGCATTGTGCACGCATATGCCGACAAGTTTGTCAAGCAAGCCCTTGAGTTCCGCGAGCACGAGAAGCTTTACCCTATGGAGAAGAAAGACGAGTACGCTCGCACGAAGTACGTTTTTCTTAATGAACTGGCCAAAGACACCGACAACCCCATCATGCTGCGTGACCAGATTGTCAACATGTTGCTCGCGGCCAGAGACACAACAGCAGGACTGCTAGCATTCGCCTTCTTCTTGCTGGCACGTAATCCCAGAGTCTGGGATAAACTCAGGGCGGACGTGCTTGAAAACTACACAGAGCCTTTGACCTACGATGCTGTTATGCAGATGACATATCTACGCTACGTACTTCAAGAAAGTAAGTTTGCGGGCCGCTCACCGATCTTCCCTTTTACATGACTTCATCTGGCTAACCTCAATCTCAGCTCTTCGACTCTTCCCTCCTATTGCCACTAATAGCCGCATGGCCAACAAAGACTGCGTGATTCCGGTTGGCGGTGGTCCCGACGGACGCTCGCCAATGTTCGTTGCCAAGAATAATGTGGTCACATACAGCACTTTCGTTATGCACCGTCGTCCAGAACTCTTCGGGCCCGATGCTGAGGAATTCATCCCAGAACGTTGGGAGACTCTCCGACCAGGCTGGGAATATCTGCCCTTCAACGGTGATCCTCGCGTTTGCCCTGGTCAGAAGTTCGCCCTCACCGAGTCGTCATATACCATTGCCAGGTTGTTGCATGCCTTCTCTGGGATTGAAAATCTGGATCCGACCGACTGGCGCGAGCAACTCACCTTATCCCTGACGTTGAACAATGGGGTAAAGGTGCGACTCCTCCGGGAAGCTTAGGGACCCTGAAGTTGTCTCTTTCATAGCCTCGAGCTGTACCAGGTTGTTTGCGTCGGACCTTTCCTCGCTTAGCAAGCCTTGTTACATAGAATTTTTGAGAATTCAGACGAGTCGAATAATCTCAAAAAAGGTGATGAAGAATGCATCACAGCTTTTGACCCTTTCATTTCAGTGACATCTGACCAACCTAATCTTCTCAAACCATCGATAAGTCCCGTAAGGTAACACGATGCCTCACTGACAGTGCAGTCTACTTAGCACGCCATGCGATGCAGGTCTCAGTTCCTGAAGATTACCTGAAAGATGAGTCTTTCGAGTACTGTATCTTAGGTATGTGGGACAAGGTTGTAATGGCCCCTGGGCTTGACCACCGTGGCATCGAATGTTGCCACAAGCAGGCAGCTGCGACTCAATGAGTCGTCTGAGTACACGTATGGAAAAGGCCAACATAGGACCTCCCAAGAGACATGAAATGTTAATCCAGAGACTCCAGTATGTCACCAGGACATCACAGCACATACAAATAGCCTAAGAAGGCGGGTAAGGAGAACGCCAAGGCCGGACCCTAATATGCTATAGTTGCGGATGCAGCAAGGAGCCAGTCCGAAGAGCATCACCTTCATATCCCTGAGGGCTGCAACTCTTCACCGCCATTGTCTAATCGACATGCCACCTGGATGGTAACGTCTCGTCCCAAATTTAGATGACACGACAGGGCTTGACGTTCTCGAACAACCAGGCACTGAGTAGCTCCCGCTTTCTCGCCTCGACTTCCCCGATCACATAATCTTCAAGTCCAAGCCCGCCAATCAGAATGAACTTATCCCCTCTGCTATTGTTCGAAAAGCTATAATTGAACGAGTAATGGCTACCTCAATCGGTTATACTTCACCTTTGGAGCCAAGAAGTGTCGCGGGAAAATGGGACAACAAACATCTTTGAAGGCAACCCTTGGAAAGTTTAAATTCTTCCCCCGCTTCAGAGCAGACTTTAGCCCACCTCCACCGGGTTTGAGTCAGTTGAAATAAGCGAAGGCCTGCTGCAGGACTCATTGAGTCTCCGAGACGTTGAGGTGTTCCGATCATTAATTAGTTGACCCTCGGACAAGTTAGAGTTTATGATGTGGTCTTTCCTTTGACCTGCTGCGCTTCGACCAATACCCGGAGGGTGTTTCGACCGAGCTCAAAGACTTTCCCATACGTAATCGCATTGTTAATCCGGTCTCACTTCAAGTCTTTCCACCCTTTCTGGTGCGTCATTTGCGGTCTTGGCCAAGAAAGTGTAGTATCGCGACCACGTCTGCGCAATGTGGAAGGTCGTATTTGGCCCAAGACAGCGGTGGAATTCGGACGGGCCAAGAGAATTGGAAATGTTTCCACAATGTCGTGAAAGCCTATTAAATAAGTGGACGCGCTTCTTATGATGATTGGATCTTGCGGGTGTCACTGAATCCTGCGTAGTGTTGTACATAGTTCACTAATGTGAACTCTAAAGCAATTGACCACGCTGAGTTCGCCATTGGTTCCGAAGCCCACGACTGATGATTCCGAGAAGCAGCTTTAGTTACACTACTTACCTAGTTGCTGATCTCTCTGTGCCACTCTTCTCATCCCACTACTCCGCTCACTCCTGGTTCTTCCGCCAAATAGCATCATGTGCGGCATTACGGCAACTATCAAGTTACGACGAAGCGGCACACTCCCTGGATCAAATGGGAATAGCCATAACAGCTCCCCAAGTCGCCAGGCTTTGCACAATCAGTTAGCGGAAAGCCTCGTAAGCCTTGCTCATCGAGGGCCGGATGCCGAGGGCATCTGGATGAGTGACGATGGAACCATTGGTATGACCATATGGCTCAGGCTCAGTAAATTTGACTGACTTTGGAATATAGGCCTCGGCCACCGTCGTCTTGCCATCAATGACCTAACGCCTGACGGTGTTCAACCTCTGCACAGCAATGACGGGAAAATCCATGCCGTCGTCAATGGAGAGATATATGATCATGACGCCATTCGAGAACGGTGCATCCGGGATCATGAATATCAATTCAAGGGCCATTGCGATAGTGAAGTGTTGATTGCGTTGTATAAGATTTACGGAGCTCCTGGGTTCTTTGAACATTTAAGAGGGGAATTCTCATTTGTCATTTTTGATGAGAGAGATAGGCGGGTGATTACTGCCCGCGATCGCTTTGGCATCAAGCCAATGTACTGGACTATTGTTGGTGACGGCTCACAGCAACAGCTTGTCTTGACATCTGAGGTCAAAGGCTTTTTGCCCCTTGGCTGGGAGCCCGAGTGGAACGTCTCCGGTCTCATCAGCGGACTTTCTCTCCAAGCTGAACATACGATTTACAAAGATGTTTGGAAATTGAAGCCAGGT